AAAAATTATCTCAAGCCATGGTTTAACATTTCGTTATATTTTTATTAAAAATAWTACGTATTATAGTATAACAAAAATTATCTCAAGCCATGGTTTAACATTTCGTTATATTTTTATTAAAAATAAATAACAAAAATTATATTTAAAAATATTACGTATTATAGTATAACAAAAATTATCTCACATATGGTTTAACATTTCGTTATATTTTTATTAAAAATATTACGTATTATAGTATAACAAAAATTATCTCAAGCCATGGTTTAACATTTCGTTATATTTTTATTAAAAATATTACGTATTATAGTATAACAAAAATTATCTCAAGCCATGGTTTAACATTTCGTTATATTTTTATTAAAAATATTACGTATTATAGTATAACAAAAATTATCTCAAGCCATGGTTTAACATTTCGTTATATTTTTATTAAAAATATTACGTATTATAGTATAACAAAAATTATCTCAAGCCATGGTTTAACATTTCGTTATATTTTTATTAAAAATAATTACGTATTATAGTATAACTAAAATTATCTCAAGCCATGGTTTAACATTTCGTTATATTTTTATTAAAAATATTACGTATTATAGTATAACAAAAATTATCTCAAGCCATGGTTTAACATTTCGTTATATTTTTATTTAAAATATTAATTATAGTATAACAAAAATTATCTCAAGCCATAACATTTCGTTATATTTTTATTAAAAATAATACATATTATAGTATAACAAAAATTATCTCAAGCCATGGTTTAACATTTCGTTATATTTTTATTAAAAATAATACGTATTATAGTATAACAAAAATTATCTCAAGCCATGGTTTAACATTTCGTTATATTTTTATTAAAAATATTACGTATTATAGTATAACAAAAATTATCTCAAGCCATGGTTTAACATTTCGTTATATTTTTATTAAAAATAATACGTATTATAGTATAACTAAAATTATCTCAAGCCATGGTTTAACATTTCGTTATATTTTTATTTAAAATATTAGGTATTATAGTATAACAAAAATTATCTCAAGCCATGGTTTAACATTTCGTTATATTTTTATTAAAAATAATACGTATTATAGTATAACAAAAATTATCTCAAGCCATGGTTTAAYATTTCGTTATATTTTTATTAAAAATAATACGTATTATAGTATAACAAAAATTATCTCAAGGCATGGTTTAACATTTCGTTATATTTTTATTTAAAATATTAGGTATTATAGTATAACAAAAATTATCTCAAGCCATGGTTTAACATTTCGTTATATTTTTATTAAAAATAATACGTATTATAGTATAACAAAAATTATCTCAAGCCATGGTTTAACATTTCGTTATATTTTTATTAAAAATAATACATATTATAGTATAACAAAAATTATCTCAAGCCATGGTTTAACATTTCGTTATATTTTTATTTAAAATATTAGGTATTATAGTATAACAAAAATTATCTCAAGCCATGGTTTAACATTTCGTTATATTTTTAATAAAATTATTACGTATTATAGTATAACAAAAATTATCTCAAGCCATGGTTTAACATTTCGTTATATTTTTATTAAAATTATTACGTATTATAGTATAACAAAAATTATCTCAAGCCATGGTTTAACATTTCGTTATATTTTAATTAAAAATATTACGTATTATAGTATAACTAAAATTATCTCAAGCCATGGTTTAACATTTCGTTATATTTTTATTAAAAATATTACGTATTATAGTATAACTAAAATTATCTCAAGCCATGGTTTAACATTTCGTTATATTTTTATTAAAAATAATACGTATTATAGTATAACAAAAATTATCTCAAGCCATGGTTTAACATTTCGTTATATTTTTATTTAAAATATTAGGTATTATAGTATAACAAAAATTATCTCAAGCCATGGTTTAACATTTCGTTATATTTTTAATAAAATTATTACGTATTATAGTATAACAAAAATTATCTCAAGCCATGGTTTAACATTTCGTTATATTTTTATTAAAATTATTACGTATTATAGTATAACAAAAATTATCTCAAGCCATGGTTTAACATTTCGTTATATTTTAATTAAAAATATTACGTATTATAGTATAACTAAAATTATCTCAAGCCATGGTTTAACATTTCGTTATATTTTAATTAAAAATATTACGTATTATAGTATAACTAAAATTATCTCAAGCCATGGTTTAACATTTCGTTATATTTTTATTAAAAATAATACGTATTATAGTATAACAAAAATTATCTCAAGCCATGGTTTAACATTTCGTTATATTTTTATTAAAAATAATACGTATTATAGTATAACAAAAATTATCTCAAGCCATGGTTTAACATTTCGTTATATTTTTATTAAAAATAATACGTATTATAGTATAACAAAAATTATCTCAAGCCATGGTTTAACATTTCGTTATATTTTTATTAAAAATATTACGTATTATAGTATAACTAAAATTATCTCAAGCCATGGTTTAACATTTCGTTATATTTTTATCAAAAATAATACGTATTATAGTATAACAAAAATTATCTCAAGCCATGGTTTAACATTTCGTTATATTTTTATCAAAAATAATACGTATTATAGTATAACAAAAATTATCTCAAGCCATGGTTTAACATTTCGTTATATTTTTAATAAAATTATTACGTATTATAGTATAACAAAAATTATCTCAAGCCATGGTTTAACATTTCGTTATATTTTTATTAAAATTATTACGTATTATAGTATAACAAAAATTATCTCAAGCCATGGTTTAACATTTCGTTATATTTTAATTAAAAATATTACGTATTATAGTATAACTAAAATTATCTCAAGCCATGGTTTAACATTTCGTTATATTTTTATTAAAAATATTACGTATTATAGTATAACTAAAATTATCTCAAGCCATGGTTTAACATTTCGTTATATTTTTATTAAAAATAATACGTATTATAGTATAACAAAAATTATCTCAAGCCATGGTTTAACATTTCGTTATATTTTTATTAAAAATAATACGTATTATAGTATAACAAAAATTATCTCAAGCCATGGTTTAACATTTCGTTATATTTTTATTTAAAATATTAGGTATTATAGTATAACAAAAATTATCTCAAGCCATGGTTTAACATTTCGTTATATTTTTAATAAAATTATTACGTATTATAGTATAACAAAAATTATCTCAAGCCATGGTTTAACATTTCGTTATATTTTTATTAAAATTATTACGTATTATAGTATAACAAAAATTATCTCAAGCCATGGTTTAACATTTCGTTATATTTTAATTAAAAATATTACGTATTATAGTATAACTAAAATTATCTCAAGCCATGGTTTAACATCTCGTTATATTTTTATTAAAAATAATACGTATTATAGTATAACAAAAATTATCTCAAGCCATGGTTTAACATTTTGTTATATTTTTATTAAAAATATTACGTATTATAGTATAACTAAAATTATCTCAAGCCATGGTTTAACATTTCGTTATATTTTTATTTAAAATATTAGGTATTATAGTATAACAAAAATTATCTCAAGCCATGGTTTAACATTTCGTTATATTTTTAATAAAATTATTACGTATTATAGTATAACAAAAATTATCTCAAGCCATGGTTTAACATTTCGTTATATTTTTATTAAAATTATTACGTATTATAGTATAACAAAAATTATCTCAAGCCATGGTTTAACATTTCGTTATATTTTAATTAAAAATATTACGTATTATAGTATAACTAAAATTATCTCAAGCCATGGTTTAACATTTCGTTATATTTTTATTAAAAATATTACGTATTATAGTATAACTAAAATTATCTCAAGCCATGGTTTAACATTTCGTTATATTTTTATTAAAAATAATACGTATTATAGTATAACAAAAATTATCTCAAGCCATGGTTTAACATTTCGTTATATTTTTATTAAAAATAATACGTATTATAGTATAACAAAAATTATCTCAAGCCATGGTTTAACATTTCGTTATATTTTTATTAAAAATAATACGTATTATAGTATAACAAAAATTATCTCAAGCCATGGTTTAACATTTCGTTATATTTTTATTAAAAATAATACGTATTATAGTATAACAAAAATTATCTCAAGCCATGGTTTAACATTTCGTTATATTTTTATTAAAAATAATACGTATTATAGTATAACAAAAATTATCTCAAGCCATGGTTTAACATTTCGTTATATTTTTATTAAAAATAATACGTATTATAGTATAACAAAAATTATACCACAACACAAAACCAGCCGTCAATAAGAGTCGCCGAAACTCACGGCAAAGCGCACAACAAATGTCCCGAAATAGGAGTTATGTCAGCCAACCGACGGTAGACATGAGTTCCGATATATCGTTAAATAATATGAAAAACATATTACTCGCAAATGTTTTAAATAATTTTTTTTTAAATGTGTGTAATTTTAATTAAATTATTTATAAATTTTTGTTTACTTAAACTCTGAAATAATAAAACTTATTTTTAAAGGCATATTAAATATTATACAATACATTTGACACATTATAAAAAATATTGTTAAAATTTAAAAAAAAACATTTAAACAAAATTAACTTTAATTTTTTATATAATCATTAATAATAGCGACCAATAAAAAGTAAAATACAATACAACCAATTAGATACTATGGATAATAATAATGATAATTATTAGTTTTAGTTTTATTTATTTTTTGAATTATTTTTTTTATTGTTTATTGATTATAATGTTATTATATGTATTATAATTACCTTTGAAAAGTGATGCATATTAAATGCAAACCAGTCATAACAATAAAAACCAATTGTAGGCCCAGACAAGCGCTCAATTAATTGCATTATCTGTACATAAATCATAATTTAGTAGTAATTTTCTTTATTAATTACAATATATTTAACTACTTTACTGTATTTATATTTAAGTTTGTTATTTGTTTGTAATTTTTGTTACCTTAAACCCATATCCTTTAGTTACTTTAATGGTTATCAATAAACTGTAGAGTGAAATACTCAATCCGTGTATCTAATAATAATGGATGTGATAATTAAAATTGAAAATATTAGATACAAAATAGAAATTTTTTATTTATTTTTTAAAATTAAATTCAGATTACTTTATCCGAAAATTTTGCCGACGAATATATGGCCAAACAAATGACACAAATTTTATTTACAGCTATCAGACCGTTGCCAATACAGAACAGTAGGTTACCTCTTCCGAAAAAGGCTATATAGAGAAGCAATATGGTTGTGATTATTCAAAAATTTCAACAATAATTGTCTGAAGTGACACTTCCACTCATGAGTTATGTGATTGTCTATCTGTGCGAATCTCATACTCAGATAGTATTGGCTAAGATAGAGCAGACTATAGCTGATGCCTTGCATTGACGCGGCTACCCATGCGGCCAATGAGGTCAATACGAACCACACCAACGATACCGCAACGGTATAGTTGTAGTCTTGTTTTTGGATGGCAGTGATTGTATAATAGCCATAGATTAGTGAAAATAATAGCAACGCATTCAATGGGATCTGTTTGAGCATCAATTGGTAGGACAGTATGCATCGGTTGTTCATTTTTTGTAGGCTTTGTTTGTTAAGACTATGTTTGCAACCGGTTTGCAGACAATAAAGATCATTAAGAAACTCCAGGTTATGGCGTCTTTCAGCTGTAAATTAATTTTTTTTATTAATCAATGTTTAGCTTAAATATCATTTACTGGTAGTTTAGTAAAAACATATTGAATCGCAAACCTATTAAAAATATTGTCCGCATAGCCGATGCATTCAATGCAATCGACGCGAGCACTAAATTAAATAGCATCCGATTGCCGGTCATATAAAACGGATCGCCAATCAGCGGCCAAACTGTCGGTTTGTTGTTGTCGTCCACACGTCTATTGGCGTACTCTTCAAATGTAACCGAAAGTACGCCAATCAGTGGACTTTGCAGATATCGTTCAAATTGTTTCAATGTATCTATTTTTGTCGGTTTTGACTCTTTTAATAGCTTATAATAAGCTATCAAATAGTTGTAGATTGTTCCTATAGGTCGGTCAATCAGATGTACGTCCGCCAGCATATTGTATTGGCTGCAAACGCAAACAGGAGCTCAAACGGCACATCCAGATAAATCACTTATGTTTGCGGCCGTATCGGTGTTCAGTAATCGGATGTACGAAATCGTTTACACAGTTACAGTCGCTAAAGGATCACCACTATAGCCAACACACCGATGTCCGCTATCGATGTCTATTGACCGGTTGCCGGCAGCGGGCGTTCAACTGTCGCAAAAATTTACGATCACATCAACGCCGTCGTCATTTCGATGACACCAAATCTGGTGGTCAGACGTTTTCCCAGTGGATTAACAGCCTGAACGGCAATTGCGAAGTGGTTGATGGCAAGGATGACGACAATTTGTCATCGATTATGACTGGATTGGCCACCAGTGATGACCGACACAACGCCGCTGTATCGCTGCTCAAACGGAAACAATGTTTTCCCGCATTGTTGGCTAACAATTGCGTGAAATTTTTATTGTTTTATTGTTGAAATTTAAATTTTCTAAACAATTTGTCAGTTAAATTGAATTAATTGAACTTAAATTAATGTAATATCAGACACTAAACAATTCAAGACATCAATTATGGTTAAGAAAAGGATAATTTTAGACAATAATGAGAGACTTTGGACAGAAGACGTATCCAAATGGCAACCAAATCTGACATATGTTGAACAACTATCTGATGGTCGTACTATTTACCATCAGCCCGGTTGCGAGTGTCGGCCTATTGTTTCACCTCCACGTCCGCGACAGCCTTACAGAAGGCCATCCGAACTAATACCTGAAAGTGTAAGATCAGAGATAGATCTACAAAGAGTTAAACAAAATACATGTAGACCTTCTGAACCTTCTGAGAAGAATACCAGAGGTAAACTGTTCTCACAGTTAAGACACAAGAAAAAGGAATTAAATACTTCGACCGAAATTAAGAAAGATTCGACAAAAGTCAAGAAGTTGTCCAGCGATCCGAAGACATCAGTCAATAAAAAACCGGAACCTAAAATTGCAATGAAGACCAAACCAGTGATCGGCAAAATAAAATCACAGCCAAAATCGGAGCAAAGAAATGACGTGAAAAAATCAGCGGTTGAACCGATTAAACCGATTAAACCGATTAAACAGATTAAACCAATACAACCAATACAACCAATACAACCAATACAACCAATACAACCAATACAACCAATACAACCAATACAACCAATACAACCAATACAACCAATACAACCAATACAACCAATACAACCAATACAACCAATACAACCAATACAACCAATACAACCAATACAACCAATACAACCAATACAACCAATACAACCAATACAACCAATACAACCAATACAACCAATACAACCAATACAACCACAGACATGGATGCCTGAGGTTACTGATGAGCACAGACATGAGGAAGAAAAACAGTATTACAATCAAATAATATTACCGATTCGACGATCAGACTCAGAAGACTCGGATCAACAAAGAAGAATGAGAAGTGACGGCAAAGAATGTCGATGTGGTTGGCATACAAAAAGAAAGAATTTAAGAGTATATGGAAGAGATAAACTTATAGACAAAAGTCGTACCAATTCATGTCCTGCATTTAAAGTCCATCGAAGGACAGTAAGATCAAAAATGATCTGCAAATGTGGTGTCAAACATACAATCAAAAAACACAAATGTCGACAACCATCAGGAAATAAGCGCCGAAAGTACAGGCGATCGGCACACAAAAGACACTGATTTGCCACTGATTTACTGTTGCATCTCATGTCTGATCCAATGGTTGCTATTATTTGGCCATCTCATCAATGAATGGAGAAAACACTATATTTATGTTATTGTTAGTTGATTTACAGCAATCAATCAATCAATAAATATATCAATTTAATAATTTGTATTTTATTTAACATTAATAACTCAAATATTAGTATATTATATTAAATTTATAGAAATTTAAGTTTTATTTAATTTAGTATTATAAAAAATATACTGAATATTTATGAATTATCATTATTATAGTCATCAGGTTTAGAGGTTTAACTGGTTTTGATATTTAAATGGTTGAAACTGTCGATAATATCAGATGACTAATGTGTGTGTCTTTACTGGACTCACTTCTTCGGACGACTTCGTTTGCGAGAGACTGTTAACCGGTTATTATCTTTACTACACTTTTTGGTGCCATTACTTCTGGCCACTCCTATTAGATAGGATATTAAGGCAATGACGGCCACAATTACCAGACCTATGATCAGTATTGCTATAATCAATGGCAGCCATGACTTATTGTTAGCAACAGCTTCTTTGCGCGGATTTTCGCTAAATTCATAGGCCATTGGTTTAGCATCTAATCGACAATCAATTTCAATATTTTTATTGATACCCGAATTGCACTAAAGAAAACCCAACAACAAAAATACATAAAAATAATTTGTAAATCTATAGCGAATATAAAAATTAATTATAATTTAATTGCTAATAACTAACAGCAAATGATTTGAAACCATTTTCCGATGTCTGACAAGAGCTGATAATAGAGTTTTCAATAAAATATAGATTAAAACCATTGCTATAACCGGAACCAGTAATCATAATCAGCCGGTGCTCAGTGTAGACTCCGTTAGATATGAACCGTGGAATTCCTGATTCGGGTTTCATTTTATGGACAATTTCATTGGTCACTTCACGTGGTGTCTGGATATTGGAAAAGTCAAAACATTTCCATTTACCTATAAATCGGTCTTTTTCTTGTCGTTGACTATAAAAGCAAACAGTTATGTAGTTAAACAACGACACACTAAATGATGGATCAAATGATGTGCCAAAAGTGATATCCCATTTGGTTGTATTCAACAGTTTTCTTTGGTTTAAGTGAAGTGTATTGTTGTCACCGTTTATTTCAAACCAATCGATCACTGGTTTTTCAGACTAAACATACAGTATATATGAAACCATTTTATTATTAAATAATTTTTTTTGTTGAATTAATTATTTGTATTTTATTTTTATACCCTTAAGAATCCGTAAATCAGATTTGGTTTAATATCTTTTTTTCGATAAACAGTAAAAGCAGTTTTGTATCTTTTTTGTGATAACTTACTGTCCAAATGATGCCATTGATTGTCATTATCTAATAACAAACTGTTTGATCCGAAAGTTATCATTAATTTTGACTGTGATTCAGGCAAATATTTTCTCCAATTAAATGTAAAATCAATATTAAAATTATTGTTTTTAAATTGTCGACAAAATTGTTTAACATTTTGAGTTTGCTTAGCCCAAACAAACAGTATCGCTAAATAATAAATCAAAATTTAATTAAAAATATACATTTAATTTTAATGTTTTTTACAAAGTAAAAGTTATTAAAAAACATATTAATTAGTTTTTTGATACCTATATTAATCATCAATAATAGCAACAAAATTAACTTCATGTTTAATTATATTAATTATTTTTTTATTATCTCTACAGTTAGACAATATAAATACAATTTACAATTAAATTGACAATATTTTCAACAATTTGTTGTTTGTTTGAATGTGTTGTCTCGTATTGATTAAGTGTTTCTAATAATTAATTTATTTAAATTAAAAATTCCGTGAAAAATCAATTGTTTTAGTTTGTCATTACAAGTACATTGATATCTGTGTTAAAATAAAACAATGAATTATTTCATTTATATATTTGTTTTTGACATTTGTTTGATTCAACAAATAAAAGATACACCACTTCTTTGTCCAACAATTTCATTGTTTTATTTATTTATTATGAGTTATATTGTAAATAAATTAAAAATAATAATAATATATTTTATACATTAGATTAGTTTAGCATTAGGTTTTGAATTTATTGATGTTATTTTAATATTGGATTAAATGTTGGACTTGATTTGGGATTAAATTATTTTTAATAATTCTATGAAATATTTAAATGTAATAATAATTAAATGCTTTATTATAGGATTTTTATTAGTCCTAAAAATGTGAAAAATTTGTTAATTTATAAAAATAAACCGTTTATAATTGATAATTTCATGTCATATGATTAAATTCAACAAAAATTTCATTACTATTTTCATGATAGTTGTTATAACATTATTTATCTTATAATTTATACAGATGTTATAAAAACATTTATCTAAATTAATAAAATATAATAATAATAATAATACCTAACAAACTTATCATTTGAAATAACAAAATAAACAACATTATTAAATATTATTTATCTTGTAATATAATATATTAATATTGTAATCAATACTTAATTTTATTTAATACTTTCAACATTTTATGATATTTAAAGTTTATATTAAAATTTTTTTTTATTTATTATACCTTATAATAGTATTTAGGTATAATAGAAAATGTTTTGCATATTATTATAAATTGTGAAATATTTAAATAAAAACAATATTATAACTTATATTTTAGTTTATATGAATCTGTGTATAGCTATTACAATTGTTTGGGACAACAGTTATTATGGGATCAAATCATAGCAAACAGACCAACAGTATTAATAAATGGTAATTATTTAATATTACAAAATCAATTACAGTATTATCTATAATTTACTACATGGTCAATTATAATAAATTGTTTTAAAAAAATAACTAAAATTATAATTAAATTGTCAACAATTTTATCTATATTTTACTTTCAATTATTTATTACACATCGAGTACTGCAAACTGTATGCTAAGCAATAGATTCACAAATTATTTTAACAATTTTTTTTTTAAACAAATAGTTTTATGAATTGTATAATAAAATATTAAATTAGTTAAAAAAAATTATCAAATAGTTAGCTATTTTTTTTATAAAAAAAGAAGTTTTAATTAATCATTGAATGAAGTATCAACAAAATGAATAGAAAATTGATGTAAATTTTAATTTAATTTCAACTTATTTTTATAATAATATATAATAAAATCAAATTAAAATGTATTAATAATTTTATTACTGCCATATATTTTCAGTGATACTATCGCTAAACCGATTGTCCAAATACCACAACAACCACAACAACAATTAGTTGTTAACAATAGTCGCCAATTGGGTATATTCTGGGACATCGAGAACTGTGGTATACCGTCAAAGAAAACGGCTTCAAATGTGGTCAACAGTTTGCGCGTCAGTCTAAGCCGTTTGCATCCCGAGTGCTGTTTCGCCAAAGAATTTTACTGTGTATGCAATACTCATATACTGACCACTGACCACTTGGACGGTCTCAATAGGAACGGTGTGTTTGTTATTCACGTAAACGGCGGGTCAAAGAATGCGGCCGACGATCGGCTACAAGAGTTGATTGATATGTTTGCCGATAGAAACGCGGGCACCGATGCTCTTGCGGTCATTATAACATCGGACATTGATTTCGGCAAATCTATACGTAACGCACGGTTTAAGGGCCTGTATGTGGCGCTTATCCATCGGACACAATGTTCATCAGATCTCAAATTGTTGGCAAACGAGACACACAATTTTGATCAGTTGATTGATTGTGAAAGTCATCAAATCGGCCACAAATTAGTAAACCCTTGTATGTTATGCTAATCTATAAGTTTTAATAAATTTAATATACTGTATATATACCGGTATATATTGGATATCTAACTTTTTGTTTTATTTACACCTCCAGCTTATGTAGATATCAATGATTTGTTAAAGAAAATTATGCCCGAGTCTCGCATACTATTAAAGTATAATCAAATAGTGAATAATATTGACCAGAAACCGGTAACAGTCGATAATGATCACCATTTGTTTAATAACATCGATACGAATAAGTATAATGGACCGAAACACGAAAAGACCGGTTGGGTTGAAGTGCTGTATTCAAGATATGAGCCCCGATGGTGTGTCCTCAATGTGTCGGCCAGTACTATGTGTTTCTATCGGAACCCAATGGAGACCACCAAAAGTGCTAATTGTTTGCTAGCAATTTGTTTGGCCAATCAATTGATTATATATAACACTGATTTATGGGAATTTGTTATCCCAAGAGTTTTGGCCACAAATATTTCATTTCGCGAAAGTCCCTCAACAGTCGACAGTCCCGTCAGATGCCGAATCCCGAACTCAGTAGAGGCCAGTCAATGGTTAAATGCTATTCGATTGTTACCCGTCAAAGATGTTTCAATAGTATCCTGCTCAAATTTTATTTGGCAAAGTTATCTTAACAGTTATCCCATTAATAATAAACCAATTGTTCAGACAAATAGTACAACAAATTTAGTGAACAATCAAAATAAAAAACAAATAATACCGTCACAACCAACAGCACTACCAACACCATCATCAACAACATCAACAACAACTATAACAACAATGACAACAACAAAATCATTACAACCAAAAAATTCATCTAAAACTTCCAACACTAGAGTATCAGAAAGTTCGGGTCAATCGACAAATTCGGTAATACCTGTCAAACGTAACAACAAATACAGTACTATTAGTGACAATCGCAAGTCGATTGTGATAATGGAGGACAAGATGAGACAAAACAGGACATGGATTTCGACACTGCGAAGCCTTCTTCACACTTGGAACGACCGGTCGACTAATGGCAATCATATTGTGGATGTTCACGATTTGGGCAAACAATTGTCAATCGGACAGTTAGATAGTAATCTGGATGATCACGTTTTGCTGGTAATCGCTACAAATGCCGACACCTGTACGGCACTGGTCAATGCTGCCCGAGTCAGATGTCTGCGATGGAATAATTATCTATCAATTAAAAGCTATATCGATAGCAATTATTTATCACCCAATTGATCCTATAAGGAAGAGGTTAGTATAAGTGTAATGATTATAATAAATAAAAATAATCTAAATTATTATTATTAAAAAAAATCATAAAATTTAGTAATAACCTAGATAAATAATAATTTTAAAGTTTTTTAAACGTCATATTAATGATATTACATGTAACAGGTTATTAATTTTATAAAATATAATTATTGATTAACTATTCACTAAAATGTTTGTAATTATAAAAAAAAAACTGTATCAAACAATTTAAACTACCGCTAATTTATAATACTTTTATTATATTGAAGAATATATTGGGTCACAAAAATGCTATAAAAATATATTATATTTTAAAAAAAAAATGAATCAATTTTTTTGTAACTATCATATAAGTTCACAAAAAAAACACACACACACACACATATATAATTATACAGTATTAATACTATATGTAATTATAATACCAATATTTATTAATAAATTTAATTTGTATTTTTCAATAGTAATCCAATAGAAATATAATACAGTATTGAATATAACAATATTTTAGTATAAATTATATAAACTTAATAAACATTTTGTCAATTATTACAACGATTAAAAAAAATAAAATAAAATTAACTATTATTCGACTAAAAACCAATTTTAATCCTAAACTTTATATAACTTTTTATACCTAAATAACTTTTTTTCTGTTACTCACGAATAATCACGCAGTAGTTTAGTGTTTTGTAAGTCATGAATCAATTTTTATATTTTGTGACAAAAAAATATATGAAAATTCAATCGTTATTTATGTGTTAGAAAACTGTTTAAAACCCATAGAAAAACAATAATAACATTTGCTTTTATTCAATGCATTGTTTGCAATAATATTTTGAATTTATAACTAACGCAATAATGTTTACTAATTAATACAATCATATGCTTTATATATGATATATATTTTTAGTATCACTTTTAACTTAAATTAAAACAAAACTTTTGATTAAATTTTTCTTTTCTGTTAATTTCAACTCAAATAATATTTTCAAACATTTATTTCAATAAAGTTTTATATGATTTCAATCAATCAGTCATTCAATACATTCAGTGATTTTCAGAAATTTTATTTTTTTTAAAATATTAATTAATTGTCTAAAAAAATTTATTTTTGAATTTAAATTAATAAAATAAAAGCTATTTTAAAGTTTACCGACGGGTCTGTTATTGTTATCATCTGTTTTTCTGTTGTTGATTACCGACAAACAGCTCAAAGATGATCAACAGATTGCGACTCAAACAGACTATTATCCGCCGGTTTACTGTCGAGTTGGGCACCGACTCGGATGACGACTCAACGACGGCCACTAATGGCGACAAAAGTGGCGAACCATTCGGTCGTCGGCCGCGTCAATCATCGCCAGTCGACATAATAGATTTGGCCAGCGATGAACACGAGATTGACTTGTGTCTGGAGGCCATCAAACGTGACGATAATAGTAGTTGTATTGATGTCAAAGGATTTACCAATTATACGATTCACGTGAAAAACTATGGCCAACAAGTTGAACGATATGTGAATACTCGTAAAGGATTGGTGGCCATCAAAGATCGAGATTTGGATCAAGTAATCGATTGTAAGAATCTAACTGACATCGAGAAACTTGTCGATCAAATCAATCTGAACTCTACGGTCAATGAAGCGGTTAAACTGAAAAAGAAGAAGAAGAAGAAGCGGCAAACGATTGTTAAAAGCAATGGTCACGCGGACAACGGCACTGACAGATCAGTTGAAAACACTAAGTCTAGTGACAGTAGTAATGATAGTAGTAGTAGTAGTCATAAGGAAACATTAAATGGTAATAATATTGATGCTGACGATGAAAGAGAGCTTCAGGAGATCGGACGTCAACTGTTCAATGAAGGTGTCAACAGAATAAAGACTAAGAATAGCAATCAGTTTAAGTGTAAAGTCTGTGAATCGATATTCAAAGGATATCAGAAAGCCATGGCTCACATCTCCAGTGATGATCACTTAAAAGTATAGTAAACTTATCGGACATTTACTAAAGTATAATATCTAAATCATATACTTATCTAAATTAGATCAAATTTGGTGATAACTTGAAAGGAGTGGACGCTTTGCTGACCATTGACTCTGAAGATATCGGTGCGTACACACACACACACACACCAATTGGATGATAAAAATGTTACTTAATTATCCATTTGTTTATCACATATTTCAGGTGATGTTCGTATAGCTATTTTCCGTCGCCGGGAACTCAAGAAAATCAATACCGTAGACAAAGAGAGATTCCTTTCGCATGGTATCCGTCTTAAGGATGGTTATGGAAGAAAAGCGTATATTTGTTTGGTAAACAAAAAATGTTTAAATTTATTGTTAATAACTGATGTCTGACTGAATTATCACACAATTTGATAGACTTGTGATCTTAATTTTCGATCGCTCGGTGATGTCATTGAACACATGAATAGTATACCAACGATGATGACGACGGCGATGACGACTACGACACCTAACATTGCTGTTGACATTTCATCAACAAAACCGAAATCATTATCGCAGTCAAGTCTAAGCAATCAAACGTCTAGTTTGAATAAAATTGATCAACGATTACAAGATTATGGGATTGTGGTTAACAATAATGATAACAATTATTATTGTAATTATTGTAAATTATATTTTGAATGCCGAAAGCATGCATTCAAGCATTCCGGTGATCCCCGACATAAAATGGTAAACATTTTATTACTATTAAAAAAATTATTGCTATTTAAACCCATATTACAGGTAATTATAAATCGTTTATATTTTTTAAGATACAAAATGTCAAAACCTCTGATACTGAAGATATCGGTGACGGTTATAGTAATTCATCGAAACTCGAGCACAATTCACAATTTTTAATGGACACCGACCGATACAGTTAGTGAATTAAAATGATTTTTTTAAAAATGATTTATTTCATTAAATTTTTTTTTGTTAAAATAAATTTTAGACGATTTTGATGTGGATTTTTGGCGAAGAGATTATCTCAAAACGATTCCGATGGACACAAAAATTCAATTGACAACTGAAGGCATCCGTCTGAGAGATGGTATCGGTGCCAATGCTTTCTATTGTCAGGTATTTTGAACTATTTTGAATTATTATTATTTTTATAACATAATTATTACCAAAATTATTATTAATATTGATTAGAAATGCGAGCAATCGATCGACAAATATGAGGAAATTAAATCACACATTAAATCATTATTTCATACAATGGCTTAATTTTTTTACACAAATCTATTATATTTGATGATTTTTTTATTGTGTATTTATTTATTAATTAATTTTTTGTGTTATATTAATGACTGATATTATTAAAATTAATCAATTTAATATGAAACTAATTTATTATATAATTTTTAAATATACAGTACAAATATTTAAAATAAAATAAAACATATTCAATAAATTTAATAAATTACATTATACATTATACTTAGTGTTGGTAATTTTTCGCAATTAAAATATTACGCTTTAACTATGTATTAAAAATAGCAAACACAACATTTTAATCTAATTAAATTGTATTAAAATTTAGAAAAATTTCAAAAAAATTATTAATATCACATTAATTTATTGTTTCATATACTGTATATTTTTAATACATTAATGTTTTATTAAATTGATGACTGATATTATTAAAATTGATATATATATATATATATAATATGAAACTAATTTATATAATTTTAAAGTATACAGTACAAATATTAAAAAATATATTATTGAACATTCAATGAACAATAATAAATAACATTATATACAGTACATCCATATATTCATTAATCCAATTCTATTATTTGACAGTCATTTTCAGTTTTGATTTTAATATCCATTACAGTTTGATTAGCACTTGAAGGCATCGGTGGATCAGTTGGTTGTTTTGAGTAGTATTTGATTAGATTATCTTTTAATGACTCAATTATTGTGACAACAGCTGCGGCGTCGTATTCATTAAACACTTTTCCATCTAAAAGTCTCGACAATCGGGTCAGCAGTTCCTCATCAGTTAAAACATTTTGACCACTAATCACCTCTTCTTTTATCTCATTAAAACTAAAAGTTTCATAACTGTTGGACTCATCTTTTATGTCATCCATAAGCTGTTCCTGTTTAATATCAATGACTGGATTCTCTTCTTTGATTTTTATGAGTTGTTCTTCATTAATATCCATTTGCTGTTCAACTATAGTATCCATATGTTGTTCATTACTAGACTGGTGTTGACTGTATTGTGATAACTGAGAACCTGGTCGGTGACCACCGTTGCTATCATCTGAACTGTAACTTCTCTTCCTCGACCTAATCAACGCTGCATTTGAATCATTGAAATCTCTTTTGGGAAAACCGCAGCCATAGTTTCGCTCTAATCTATCGATTTCTTTCTTTAACAGTTCCGATGATTTCAGCGATACCTCGTTTTTATTGATCTCTTGAAATATTTCATTATTTGGTGTCAACTTTTTCTACAAAAAAAAAAGATTATTATTATTATTATTACTTTTGTTTCTGAAATATTAATTAACACAAATAATTACCAAAATTTTATAATGATGTAAATAAGAGCTCAAATGCTGAAACATTTGATAGATATCGTTATTATAATCACAAAGAGTGCACTCATATTGAAGTTGTTTGGATGTCTCGTTAAACAATTCACTGATAAACTTTAGGCCAATTAACGGTTGATCCGTTTGAACCAATAGGTCATTAAATTTTGTAGGATTTTCTTCAATTTTCATATGAGATTCACTTTGAAAATGTTCTTCAATTGCGGTAAAAGAATCGATTAATTTCTGACAAAACTATTTTAATAATTAGAAAAAATATGATTTAATGACAAACTAAAAAAAAAAATAAAGTAGTTTTTTATATATCAATCTTACCCTACAATAGTATCGTTGGCCTCCAAAATATTTGATACCTCTTTTAAAATAAAAATGTTTTATTACAATTGGTATTGTATTTAATAAATCCAATTCAAATGCTAGAAAAATTTAGATAAATAATCAAAAAGTTAAATTCAATATTTCAATAAAATTAAAATCATTAAAATCATACCAATTAATGGATCGTTGGTTTCTGTAATGTTTTTCATCATAAATCTAGTGTTTAAACCTTTTTGACTAATATTTACATTTGTTATTAACTATACAATAAAAGTCAAGAATAGGATATATAATTAAAGAAAAAATTCATCAAATTGTAAAACAATTATCAAATAAAACCAACTTTTTTATGTGCAGACTCGTCAACATGCCTTTCCATCGACTCGTATGTTGTATAGTATTGATCACAGAAACAACAGTAGAAGATTGCTCGGCCATCACTTTCCAGAGTTTGGATTATTTTATGCGACTCAAAGCCGGCCAACAAAATGTCATTTTTGATGAAAAAATTAATATCTTGAATGAGTTGTTTGGGTGATAGTGAACCAATTGATGGTGGGGTATGCGGTGATTTGATGTCATCCTCTTTCGGTGGTGAATGTGCTGAATGACTTGTGGGCGTTGTAGCGGAACTTTTATCTAATTTCTTATCACTGGCCTTTTTAATGACACTCTTGCCATAAATGGCTAACATTCCAGTTAAGAGGTCGAGTACTTCGGGTTCCGAACAGTTATCGAGTTCGTAGCCATGATTTTTCTGTAGACATAAAAAATACTTATCAATTAGTTGTTACAAATTTCTCACTAAAAATAACACAAGAAATGGATAAATTATTTACCAGAAGAGTAACTCTGTGTTTAAAACTCTGGATGTGTCCAAACATTTTGTGCGAATCACAATCAAACCAATTGCATAGTTCGCACTCATAGACAATCATACCATCGATTTCATCTTCACTGATATAATTAAGACAAACATTAATGGTTTCGTCTTCAGCTTTAGCTATCAAATCATCTAATGATTGCTTTGGTTTTTGTCTCTTCAATAAATGACTTTCGGTTGATAAATGTCTATCAATTTCCTTATATTTTTCAATAGTTTGTTTGCAAAACTAATTGAAAATGTTAACCAAAAAATAAACAATAATAATAATCAATTAAAATAAACATTAGGTAACAAACATATCAACAAACAAACCTCACAGTAGTAAGCATTTGGTGGCTTTATATCCATGAGTCGGATGCCGTTTCTGAAGTAATAGAGTTTCAGATGAAATGGCATTCGAGATAACTGTTTGTAAATCATTTTCGCTACTGTTTTGTCAAACAAAACAAACAACAAATAATTACTTCAAATCATCCAATAGTTAACAAATCATTTAATAAAAAATCCGTTAGACTTACCATCTTTAGGTTTCTCTTCATTAGAGACAACGACAAACTCTTTATCTAAACCTCGAGAAAGTGATATACCATTCAAAACGTTCTGCATTTATGAGATAAATATTGTCAACTCAGATGATATGAATCAACAAAGAAAAACTTACCCTAAGATGAATAGCTGTGTCTAAATGCTGTTGAATGAGATCAAAGTCGTTGATATACTGATGACAGTAATAACAATAATAGATTTGATGGTCATTATCATCGAGTGTACAGACAATACCATCGCTTTTATATTGATTAACAACAAAGTCGACAAACTTTTTGCTATCACTATGTTTATCATCGGTTCTCTTAGTGCTTACTTTCGGCTCTTTGCCGGTGGTCACTTGTTGGCCATTACCATCGCTATCTGCACCGGCGGTCACTTTATCAGCAGATTTGGATCCGATTGACAGTTGAACTGTAAAACTGTTAAACTTATCGTTTGGTGTAATAAATGTGGCGTCAGTTTTGATGATACTGTTGAAGTCGATGCCATTGTCATTGGATGTCGAAGACATTGTTGTTCTCTGTCCGAAATCACCGTACAGTTGGTCACAATTGGTGGTCACTTAATAAGACACTTGAATTGAATTGAATTTTAATGAAGACATCAATTAATTAATATTAACTGTCATTTCGATACACAATTGCAATGTTATTCAAAAACAAAACAAAAAATCATTCATTCAATTGCATCACTTGTAATCAATATATAACGTAACGCTTTAATCACTAAATAGGGAACTAATTACTCATACTATTGAAACCAATACCAAACATCTATAATAGGGATCTATTATTGGCTACATTTGTGTCACGTATTTGTGTAAAACATAAGTTAAAAAACACATAATTTGTTGTAAAAACAATGTTTTATTTTGTTTGTCTCTCTTATTGTCTTTCAATCACTGAATTGATTGTATTTTTTGACCCAATTTTGAAAAACACAAAACTATTTCATTTTTAAACAATATTTTTGCCGATCAATCGCTGGTCACTAGTAGTGGTCGTCGTTCGGTTGAATGGTTGATCACCAATGAGTACAAAACAGCGGGTCTCGCGAAGGACAACACAGTTGCCATCGTCGTCGTCGTCGTCTTCGAGCCGAAACATAAGATCCAATGCTATGGAAGTCTATCGGCAAACCCGACGGAAGCGGAATCGGGTTGTAAAGTACGGATCGAAAGAGGCGGCTAAAGCCGAGCGGATTGCTGCCGACGATATCTATGACGCCAAAGGTATTCACGTGATCTCTGGCCGCGATTTGTGCGACTGTCTGAACGAGTCGTGCGACGGATGTTTCTTTGCGTGTGTCAACAAACGGTGCAAATCGACAAAATGTGGTCCAGAGTGTCGACAAAAACGCAAGTTCTTCTACGAGACTATTCAGGACCAGATAATGGAGACGATTCGTGTGAATTTTACGGCCAAAAAGTGTGCCGACGCCGCAAAAGCTATGAAAGATCAGACCATTCATATTGCCTGATCAATGGGACCAACGGTTTTCATAGGATGTCGTGTCTTGTAATATCTGAAAAAAAAATTAATTTTTATTTGTTTTATAAAACCATAAGATTAGTGGTGTTTAGTTACCGATAAATTAATTTTTTTATTGTTGATCTGAATTAAAACAAAAATTATTAGTTTCCTATCAATTTTGATGGCATAATATTTTTGTTTTTATTGTTAGTTTAGTTGATCCGAATTGATCCCAATGTCTTAATATTCAATCAATTTTCTTTTGGTTTGTCTCTCAATATTTTAGATAAAATTTTTATTTTGTTTCTTTTGACATTTTACTGTAAAACAATTTTTTCCACATATATATACATATTTCAAGCATTTAAATATTTTATATTTATTATTCAAAGTTTATGGTATAAAAGTTTTTATTATTTAAAAAAAGAAATTGTCACACATTATTGTAAACTAAATAAATTTCATATTAAAATATTTTATTTTTTATATAATTATTTTAACAGACATTTATTTATGTGCTATTTGTTTATTATTTATCTTAAAAATTATCTCTAATTATTTTTTACATATATTAAAACAACTATTCATTCATTCATTGAACAGGTCTTTGACTGCAATTCTGGAGCAAAGTTTGGCGCCATTTGCCAGAGAACTCATATAAAGTTCTTTGTCGAGTATATCGGCCAACGAATAGCCGTCGGTAGAGGTCATTATCTGTGCCGACAACTGTGCGATCACTAGAAATCGTTCAAACTTTTCGTGTGTAATATTTCTACACATATTCAGTTCAGTTTGAAACGGATTTTCCATCCAAATCGGCAATTGTTGGTCAGGATTACCATAAGTTCGGGCATTCAATATGGATATGGCCTCCCATTGATAGCTTATTGAGAGAACAAACTCGAAAAACTTGGCCAACAGGTCAAGTGTATCTGTATTTTGTTTGTTTGTTATGAATGGTTGACCCGATGGTTGCATGAAGTGACTCATTGGCGGTAAAATGTTTTGGATTTGCAAAAAATATATGACTAAAGAAGTTAATTGAAATGATGTAAAACCATTGTATATTAGATGAGTGGACCAGTTCTTGGGTTTTAATAGCTCTAAATTAATTACAAACAATTAGTATTTAAAATCAAATTAAAATTCATATAAAATTAAATTATCAATTACTGTGTTGTTTGGCCCAAAGTCGCAAAAATAGGATCAAATCTCTGACACATGGATTAAGACGAATACAATAGTTAAGAAAAGCAGACATATAAACACCCGAATGAACAGAATGTGGCGATAATTCAATGGAAAGGTCAATATCGATGGGCGCCAAATCAAAACCGAACTTTACGATCGGTACTCTGGCTGATAATATACGCGAAAAATGTGAATAATATGGTATCGAATATTGCAAAAGATCGGCGATTAGGTTGAGGTTAGATTTGAGTCGCTGTCGATCATCTTCACGGGAACTTTGCGTCGGATCCGACACTTGTCGCGGTGTCAACACTAAGTCTAAGTCACTGTTCGGTGTCCCTAAACCTGAAGAAAAACAAATTACTACATTAAGTCCAACAGAAATATTAATATATGTCCTGACCTGCAATAGACGAGCCGAACGGCAATATATGGTATGACTTAAAATATGATTGACATATGTATTGCTCTAATTGTGATATTATATAAAACCTAAGTTTCAAATCTAAGTCATCAAAGTCTTTATCAGAGACTAGATATTTCATTATCTCGTCGTTTGTCTTAAATGATTGCTTCATAAACGACGCGTTCAGATAATAGGCGTCCCGACGTCTAGAAGTCAGCTCACGAATCACTTCACTACGTTGGCCACTGTTGTTGGCCGCCGTCGAGTGTCTATTGGTTGGTAACAATAACTTTGGACACGAGTTAAGCGACAAAAACTTGAGGTTATACTTTGGCGGCTGTTTTTTGTCGGTGGTTATACCGAAATTTCGGAGAATGTATCGATTCAGCCGATAGTCCGGGTCGTACAGTTCGACCAGTGCACAGTTGTTCTGAGAAAACTGCCACTTATGGACCCGATCCACACGGGTCTCAAGCAGTTGGCTCAGTGTGGCCGGCGTTAGCCGCGATAGTACATCACACTTGTCTTCGATAAGCAAATAGTTGTTGGCCTTCAGCTTTTCGGCCGCAATGATCGACTCAAACTCCGATAGTTTTTCATTGGGCACCGAACCTACCGAAGAATTGGTGGCCAAATATTTGTGACCGCAAACAATGTTTAACGATTGTCTCAATAGTGCAGCGCTTTGTTTGGCGTGTTGTCCGACAATTGTGGCCAACATTGCTATCTTGGCGTTTGTCGTCTCAGTCAATGTAATCGCATTTTTTTTGTCCACATGTGTTGACAAATACAACAACAAAAACAATATTAAAATTATTTGCTTTAAAAAAACAAGTGTTTAAAATATACTGTAATTCAATTTAAATGATATTATTATTATAATAGACTTTTACAGACATCACATGTTTTTTGGTTGTCTATAATACAGTAGTTGTTATACAGTATTACTATAACAACAAATACGTTATGCAATCAGTTATTTAATAATTGGCACTACTTTTGAATTGATGAAATAATTTTTATAATTAATTAATTAAATTAATGATTTTTTCTGTTTGGGTAATTTATTAATAGTTAAAAAAAACGTTTGCATAGTTTAGATACAAAAAAAATAATAAAAATATAACATATTATATGAACCACAATTTTACAGGTAATAATAAAATAATAGTGTATTAAACATAATTTATATAAATCAATTGACAATTAAAGGACAGGTAACATATGACAGTATATCCACATAACCATAATCATGGGTTACCCGTAAAGAGTTCCAAAGCCATATCTATAGTACTTGCGATAACACTGTTGACAATATCCGCCAAAATTTCCAATGGCTGGACTAATATATCGGGTACCGTAGTATCTGCTGTATTGGGTGCCAATAAAGCCAAGACTTGCAGAAGCCGGTATATATCCTCCACCGTAACCCCCATATCCACCGTAACCCCCATATCCACCATAACCGCCGTATCCCGTACCGACCCCACAGCCACCACCACCACCACCACATCCATTGCCTACACCGTAAGATGGACCATATGTACCACTATAGATGCCACTATACTCTCCAACATTAGCACTATTATCTCCATAACCCACACCATAGGTAGCAAATGATGAGATAATAGTTGCGAATAAAATAGCAATTGACAACTAATTGATTGATTAAATTGAATAAAAATAATTAATAATTATTTTCTAGGTTAAATAGTAAAAATATTCATAAATAAAACTAACCAAAATTTTCATATTTTATTTAAAGTTATATTTTAATGTCTAGATTAAGTTTATAACTAAAATTATATCAAAAATAAAATAAACTAAAAAAAATACAAATAAAAAATATAATGCATTCTTAATACAGTATATTGATATTATATATTAGAATTTGTTTAATTTGTATTATTTGAGAATACATTATAATAATACAATAGAAAATTTCAATTTTGTAAAAATATTTTTTATTCTTTATCATAAATGTTATTTAAACTTAAAATACAATATGTGTTGTTTACTTAACTAATATCAACTATTAAATATTGTACTTTTTATACAACAAAAAATAACAAACAAATAATTCAATAAAACTATGAAAATCTGTAAACATTTAAATTGTTTGAATATATTTTATTTATATACGGTATATATAAAATCTTTTATTAGTATTTTTATTATTAATATCAAGTTCAAGGTAATTATTGAATAGATTGCTTTAAACATATATTTCAATAATATATCTTATATAAAAATTTAATTATTTATATATTGTATAATAATTGTAAAATTATTTTAATTTATTTTAAGCGTTAATAACTAAATCATAATATATTTAATATATTATTGTTTAAAATTGACACAAATTAAAATAATATATAATTCAATAGGGAAATATTATACTGTACTATAAATAACTCAAACAAACAAAACAAAAAATACTATTTTTTTAACACAATTTATTCCGGATATTTATTTAGCAAATTGAGATAATTAGAAAAATTGTAAATTATGTTTTTATTTTGAATTATATCCTAATTATAAATTTAAAATTATTATATATTAGTTTGGATTGCTTTAGATTTTACTGTAACTTTATTATTTAAAAAAAACTTGTAATAACACAATGTCTAATTTGATCAAATTTAACATTTTTATTATTGCATTCATCGTAATCAACAACTATTTATTGTTATGTTCATCAAGTGGTCAGCAATTTGGACACAAACATAGCGAAGACAAAGAAGTTCACTGGCTTTTGGATGAATTAATTAATTTGTTGACCAAATTTTCATATGAAGTCGAAACCGATCCGACACTTCTGGAGAGTCGCACATTTCGTTCGACACTTGTTCGAGTGGTCACCCGGATTACCGATGTTATCGACCAGATTGAAACCAAACCGCGTATAGCTTCCCTAATGAGTGTCAGTGTAGTCCGTTTGGATGCCGTACGGGTCAGACTCAGTAATTTTGTGTCCAACTACGCGAATGAGGCCAACAATTATGATGACAATCACAAGAGTTATACGAAAAAAGTGATTAAAACTACAACAACGACAACTAAACCATTGATGACGGATAACAAACAGATTTTAAGTATTAATGAAATTATCGATATTTTGGCACAAATTATGAATAAAATTCATATTATTGATAATAATAATAATAATAATAATTTTTAATAATGAAAATTTTAATCATTAAAAAATAATATCATATACATTAGAATTAGATTATTAATTAGGTTATGATTAAAATACATATAAATTATCATTTTGTTTTATTATATGCTATAATTAAATTAAATTTTGTATAAATATAATATTAAATTTAATTTGTGATTGATATATCAAGTTTATTAAGTACATAATTTTACAGTATAACTTTCAACAATAATTTTCAATATATTAACTCATTTACAGAATCAGTAAAATATTAATAATTTTTATTTAAAAATAATTTAAGTAAAGTTTATTTTACAATAATAATTATTTATATTTAAAATGTTTAAGGAGTTCAATATTAGATAAATTTTTAAATTAATATTTCTATAATCACTGTTTATTAAATAGCGAAACCTTAATTGTTAACATAATAAATGCCTAAATTTTTAAAATTAATTAAAGTAATTTGTGTATTTTATTAAAATAATTAAACATTTTAAAATACAATAATAAAAAATATATTTAATATTGCAAAATAAATATCTAATTTTATTTAAAAATTTCATATAATATCTACATAATAAATAAATATTTAATTTAATCAATACATTGAAGCAAAAAAAATATACTATATTATATATTAAAAGTAAGTGTAATATAAATAGTCTACAGTATATGTAAATTTTTATTAATACGGTATACATACTATAAATAAAATAAAAAAACTCAACATTGCAACTTCATAATATGATATTATTAATATTAAACTACTGTATATAAATAATTTAATTTTATAAAGCAAATAAAATACAGTTACAGTATATTATAATATATTTATATTATAAATGATTAACATGTTTATTGATTAGTTTTAAAAATGTTTTTATCCAATACTTAAATTCAAGCGCATGTCTTAGTAAAACTACAATAATTGTTGAGTGTTTATTACTATAGTATATGTGTTAATATATGACAAACAAATTAAAAACACACAGAATATTCTGATTGAGAGATTAAAAATGCAGAATATTTTTGGCATTAATTCCTAATAATTAATATCATATTATTTATAATATAATTATATAGAAATTTATTATTCATCATTTTCCGTTTAAATTATTATTTTTTATTAAATAAAAATATGGCAATTAGTAAGAACCTGTTTAGGGTGACCCAGTGTTGTCTGGTAATGATAACAATTATGGGAACCGTTAACTTTCAGCTACAACACGACAAATGGAGAAATTTCTACCGAAAAGAGCTATCAATATACGGTTTGAGCGAAAATGTGTCCATCAAGTTGTCCAAAGTTATGATCATTACGCTAATAGTTATGACCACTTTATTTACTTTACTCTATATTTACTTTATTATACGGGAAATCCTGTTGGGTGTTATCGTTGTCTGTATACTAGAACTGATAGCTCTCATCTACTGTCTGACACACATCCATAAGCCGACCGCCCTGTCATTGACCGACTATTTGTTAGCCGCCGCTCATCTCATCATTGGCTTCATCTATGTCTGCCTTATTCGACGCAAAATTAGACAAAAGATCAGACAAAACGAATTAATCAAACGTTTCGAGTCTTAAAAATACATACATATGTATACTAATAATACTAATAATAACACTGTTTTAATAATAACTGTTAACACATTAACACATTTTATTAATGTTATATAATATATATATTTATTATGAATATATAAATATTGTTTAATTAATGTGATAATCATGAGATATTTATTTATGTATATATAAAAAATTATTTACATATCAAATAATAATTATTATTATTTTGTTATAAATCGTTCGTAGTTTTCATATATATCCTCATCGCTGACCACTTTGTCCACTAATACACGCTTCATATGCGGCGGAATTTTCGACACATAATAGTCGACCACAGATTTCTTGATGGTCTGAATAACGTGTGCAATGTCTGAGGCGTCTTCATAGTTAGTCACACGAATTGATAACTGTTTCTGTAGTGGAGTCTTCTCAAGAGACTCTTCACCAGTGATGTCAATCACTTCGATATTTCGTGAATTTGGTTTACACTGTTGTTGTTGTTGTTGACGTTGTTGTCCATTATTATGTTTCACTGGACTCGTATCGATTCCCGGTTTGCCTCTAATTCGTTTGATAGTACCGGTGCCCAAAACCTTATGTAGATCATGGACTCGTTTTTTGATTTCTTTAATAGCTTGCGGTGTCTCAGGAATGGTATTCAAAGCTGTTTCCTCTGGATTAAGTATTTTCTGCCAAAAAAACAGTATTAAATTATTATAAGAGTCACTTTAAAAGGTATGACTAGAAGATATATACCAATATTTTAAGTCGGTGTCCAAATGAGCTAACGTGACGATACATATTATTGGCATTGTCTTTGCAGTGACATAGCAGACATTCGTAGACCGGTTCTACTAAATCTGGACAAACATATTCATTGATAAATTGTAGGCCAATTACGGGCTCAGTATTGCGGGCCATAATAACCGTAAATGTCGGTCGGTCTTCGCTTTTACGATGAGATTCAGTGTTGATATGACTTTCAATGTCTATTAATGATTGAATAGGTTTGTCGCAAAACTATTTGTCGAAAATATTTAATAAGAAAGTTAAACAAACAGAAAAAACAATTTTTATAAAATAATTAAAAATTTCAAATTACAATGCAATGATATTGGTGGGGCCCTCCAGGTTTTCTCAGACGTACTCCTTTACGACAATAATAGTGTTTGTTTTGTATGGAAATACGCTCTAATTCTATACGTAATGTGGTCTCAACTGTCAAATTAATAATCATTATATTTATTAAAAAAAAATTTATAATTATATATTTAAATTTTGTTGTCAAAAATAAATTTACAAATTAATGACTCACTTTTGAAATAATCAGATTCTGATAAATCATTTGGTAAGACATCACCCAAAAGAAACCGTTTATTCAGCGTATTCTGCATGGGATCGGCATTACATCTCTCGATATTCTGTAATAATAATAATAATAACAACAATACGGTAATAATGATAATGAAATGTAAATAAAATAATACGAAATTATTTTACATTTTTATGACCATATGATTTGCAATGTTTGGCAACAGTTAATAGCTTTTTAATATAGCCGTTACAATAATAACAATAAAATGTCATAATATTATCCAAATTAGTGGTCAATATTATGCCTTCGTTTTCATAACCCTGTGCTAAGGTATCTCTCGTGTAAACAGTTTGTTTCGGTGGTTCACTTAATAGCGGTTTTTTCGATGGTTGATTCGGTTGTATGTTTGGATCAAACTGTTGTTGTTGTTGTCTATTTACAGTGTCAGGTGTTGTCTGTATTAATGGTTGTTTGTTGTATGGTTTACGTCTTTTTTGTTGCCTATTATTAATGGTTATCTTATCAAACGTTTGAGTGGATGTCTTAGCAATTTCAGGATTATTATCATACATTTGATAGTATTGTGTCGGTTGGTTGGCAGTCATTATCGGTCTCTGGATCATCGGTTCGTACACTCGTTGGGCAACCGATTGCAATGCATTAACGCTTTCAATGATACCCTTTTGCAGACTCATTAGATCGGCGTTTTGTTCGCCAAGAACTGAAACTGTCCGTTGATTGGTCATCGGTTCGGCGATGTTTGTATTGCCCATACCGTTGGCGTAATCAATAACTTTGGCATTATATCGCATAGTCTTTGGATAATTTTGTGGATAGTATTGAGAGGAGACTACCGAAGTTTGAGTGGCAAAACCGCCATTTGAAGACATAGATTCTGGTGGTCTAAACGAATCACTTGTGTATAGAGGAGTTCCAGTTGGTCGCGGATAGAGAGCTACAGACATAAAGACACAAAACAAAAGATAATTAGATAAAATGTTTGTAGGATTGAAGCGATCGACTGCATCGGTAAATACTAAGCGGATACATACCGCTATGCGACAATGTGACCGGCGGTGGCATCATTGTCTCGGAGGTCGACTTAAATAGACATTCATTCAATTGTCTTCGGATGTCCTCTTCTTTGCCATAATAAGTACTCAATTGTTGTTCATAATTGACATTATTTGTCACGACTGGTGGTGTCGGTCTGGGAGTAGTTGCCGGCTGATACTGTTGCAGTAACCGCTCCACATACTGTTCCGTCATATAATGATTGGCCGACATTATTCTAATGTTTCCGATAACCACTTTTGACTTCGGGTTTTTTGTTGGTCACTCACGGCTATCACAATAACAAAGCATACAATGAATGCAATGTTTTTGTCAATAAAAAAGAGTCCAAATGTTTGACGAATACAGTCTAATAAATAACTAAATGATCGAACAATCGGTATGTTTTGTTTTCTATGCAATACAACATAAATAGCTGTCAGATTGACTATCATAAAAAGGCACAAAAAATCAAAACATTCACAAACTACAGTATTGTTCAGTATTTTTACGACAACAAACAAAAAACACTACAATAATTGGCAATCAATAGAATCAAATGGCTTAACTCAATAGTCAACTAAGTTATACTGTTAAGCCTTTTTAGCATAAATTGCATCATTTGTTACCAATTTGTTTACTATTGATGAAACCTTTCAATAATAAAAAACTTGTATTCAATGGCAATGAATGCGTAAATCAAATGTTAAGTAAATAAATAGCTCTTTGTTTTAGTTGTTATTAACGATAATAACAATTATTTCAATTGATTATCGCATTCATTGTAATCACACAACAGACAAACAGAAATGTAAAGATAAGATAAAAAAATAGTTAAGATATCGTTAGATATCAAATGTCTCGTATGGTCTTTGCGACGATTCTTCGAAACAATTATCCGAAGAATTCAAGTCATGGATCAATGTTTTATTGTTGTCATCAGAAAAGACAATCGCCATTACTTTTGCTACTATGCGATGCCATTCGCCATCAATCTTATCACTCGTACGCACCGAAAGAACAGTTGATGACAGCCCAAGAAGTGGCCACAGCTTTGAGACCGTTCTTCTTTGTCATACATCCCGACCGCTTCTGGAAATATCCGAAACAAAAGGACACTAACGAAGATTCGTTAAAACAGTTGAATTCATTTATCAAAGATGTGATCGAAATGCGAGAGACTAACGACAGAAGGATTAAGTTCTTTATGAGAGACGAAATCATAGATAATAATGAGATGGTTAAGAGTGATAACATAATTGATGTCAAGTTTAAGGAGATTAACATTAATTTATTTCGTAGAGAAAATGTCAATAAAATTGTACATAAAATACTGTCCGAGTCTCGACTGTCGACCGATTATCTCAAGAAAATTGGTAAACAACCGCAAATGGGTAGCACTGCTGGCACTGAAGGCCATGGTATGACTTCCGATGGCTTTCAATTCAAGTATAATCAAAACAGTGGTCCGTTTAGTTTTAATCGTAAAGTCAATGATTATTGGGTTAGAACTGATATAAATGGTCGTCAAACTATCGAAACAGATCCCGAATTGGATGACTTTGAAGAACTGTTTGAAAAGAAGAAAATCGACAAAAATTTGATTGAATGGCTTCAAGAGAACCGACATTTGGCTAATAGTAGGCTTCATACAAACGAACCGATTCGTCAAGAATTGAATCGATTGGCAGATCAGCTGAAACAAGAGTTGCACTTAAATGATATTATTTGGAAGGACTGCGGTTGGGGTGTATCTCATATAAGGGCTGCACTGAATAGTGTTAATATAATGAAACAGCAGTTTGATATCAATGTTCTCAACGGCCGGACACTGATGTTTGCCCGACAATCGGGCGTCAGTTTTGATGGTCACGTTGTATTGAACATTGAGGACGTGCGACACAATTGGTTGGCAATGATTAAGAACATTCATACGTACGATGCAGATCTGAAAAAACTGCCATTTGTCGAGAGTGTACTGTCGGGTGCGTTGCGCGGCATTCAAATAGATCACCGAAAATTTCGACCGACGGTAATCATATCGTCTTATATAAAACAATTAGAAAAATTGACGGCTGCTATTAGTCTATATATTGGCCAACATGGGTTTCCGCCAAATTGGTCGCCAATCCTTGACAGATATCAATTGGTAGTCGAGTGCGAAGCGGGACCGCTGATGCTATCGCCGACTGGCCAGTTTATAGTGCCCGCATCGTGTCCAGCCTTTCTATTATTTGACTTTATGAGCGACAATATGTTTAAAGCGAGACTATTAAGAGATATGTATTTGAATTATAAGTCCAAAGAGGAACATATAGTCAATGAATGTATGACTCAACTGGGCTTACAGTCCATCGACAAGGATGACAACGTAACACCTGATCTGATGATCCAGTGTTGCAACAAATTGATAGCCAATAGGGACACACTGTCGTTGAGGAACAGTCGTCTTCGAGTGTCTCACTATTATTCAGTCCTATTGGATGGAGAGATATGTATTCCCTGGGATTTTACCCTATAATTAAAACTACTTATTAACCTCAAAAGCAAACTACCCGTAATAGTCACCGTTATTATGACTGAGCCATAAAACTATGGATATTAAGCACTGGTTAGCGTTTTAATATCTGCCAGTGCTTTATTAGTGGTTTTGAAAATAAATGTTAATAATGTTTAAGCAATTTTAAAAAATAACAATAAAATTAAATGCGTTTATCAATAGTTAAATAATATAAACCTTTTTTTGCGAGGTTTAGAGTTTAATATAAACTTTTGTTGTTTGAATTATAGTAATTTTTATTATTCATATTTAAGAAAAAATAATAATAATGAACTGTTTTAATAGTAAATGATTTATTGATTTTGTAAAAGTTTATTATTGAAAAAAAGATGGTCATTAATTTCTATTTGTTGTTTAAATAAAATTTGTACAGTATATACAGTATATTGTTTGCTTATTAATTGCAATAAATAACTGAAAATTTATTTATCATATTTTATATAATTGAATTTTATTAATTTGGATAATTATTTTTCATATTTCAATTGGATTCCCTTATTGGGACACAAAAGTAAATCGGGAACAGTTAGATCAAAGTAAGGTTTAATGTTTTGCATCTATAGTTACGATTACATATTATTTACAGTAATATAATATATCATTATTAATCAATACAATACAACACAAAAATAGTTTTTTGATAGCACATCCCTATGATAACTGATTTGTCTATTTAAAAAAAAAAAAATATTACCGAAAAAAAATCAAAGTTATCAAACAACTAATTTTAATACAAAATATATGTTTGTTTATCTTATCTCAATTAATTAAAATGAACTTGATTAGTTTTTATGAAAAATGTGTAAAATATGTTTGATTATCTAATATATGCAAATACATGTATGAAATACTGTAAATGTAGTACAATATTGATATAAAATACCGTAACATTGCTTCACATTTATAATGCAATTGTATAACAAATGCAATATAACTGTAAAGTAAGTGTTAATAGCTTTTTATATGACAACAACACTAAAGCATAACATACTGTATAACAGTTTAGGCAATGATGTGTTGTTTGGCAATAATAACTGTTTGCTGCCATCATATCAATGATTTCATAATTGCCATCAAAGACAACAACAATAACTGTTGTCAACAACAATGAGTGACAAAACACCGGTTCCGAGTAGTGGCCAACAATCGGACAACAAGTTGACCGCAGCCGAGGCCAACCATTTGCTAACAGTTATGATGAGAGCAAAAGTAATGTTTTATTTATTTTTTTAAACAAACATATGATTACATTATATAACATACAGTAATACAGTATTAGCAACAAATAGACCGTATGTTTGCTATTAAATGTATTTTCAATACTTCAATGACAACAAACACAATATTATTATTATTAAACATAATATATAATAATTTTACTTATTATTACTGTGTATTGTTATTATTAATAAATATTATACACTAGTGTTAATATAATTTATATAATAATTTTTGTTTTGTTTATGTTTTTTGACAGCAAATAACTAAATCATTAGTATATTTTGGTTTAAATTTTTTTCCCCATCTATTAGTACTGTACTTATAAAATGTTATAAACAAAACTCATAATATGTTTTGACGGGATATCTATCCCACTCTTACTCTGTATTTATTAATTGATAACACGTTATAATATTTACATTTAAGTGTTTTTTTTATAATCAAATAATTTTATTATACATACATACAGTATATATAACTAATGATTAATTATATTTATATAGTTTTCCAATGATTTTTCAATGTTGTTAAACAATTTTATATATAAATAAATACAGTATTCATATATAAATAATAAGTTATAAATGTCTGACTCCTTATCTCAAACGACACACCACTTGAATACATATACAGTATATATCATATCATATCTAAAAATCAATTTCTAATAATATAATGAATGACTTTATTTTATTAATGTTTGGTTTTTATTTATTTTGTTTAATACATTTAAAATATATAATTATTTAATAATATATATATTCATATCTGTAACCATTGTTAATACTATTTATAAATATTATCGTAATATGATATGTAATTAAAACTCCATAGTATTATAGCGTATATATAATATTTGTATTGTATTTGTTGTTTGAGTTATACATATTATATTTTGATTGTGTTTTATTTTGTTTATTGTGTTTTATGTTAAACTAGTAATTTTGTTTTTGTTTTAATTGACATTTTTATATACCACATATTATACAACTATATTATATAATTTATTTTTATATTTATAATAACATAAATTGTTTGATTCATAATTAAATATATCGCTAATAAAATCAATGGATGAGATTTACAGCCGCAGTATTAGTAGTATTTGTGAACAATGCTATAAAGCAGTCAATGAAGCAAATGTTTGATTATTATTTTTTTTTTATTTTCAAATTATTTATAATTTAACTATAATTCATGATTTATGTAATTTTAGTTTATATGAAAATTTTATATAATTAGATTGTATTTTATGTAATATATTTTTAGTTTAATTGATATTAAATTATATTTATATACTTAATTAGTTTATTAAGTAATAAATTTTTATTATTGTATGAAATCTATATCCTTTAGCATAACCTTTAAATTATTAATTTACAATTAATTTATAATTTTTATTTGTTTTTTAATAAATAGCAATTTGAAGCCCAAGAGCTGGCACTCCAGAGTCAACCAATTGAAGGACAGTTAAACAAATATACTAATGTTGTAAAGGGATGGCAATATAGATGGTTTGTCCTCAACCCAAATCGCGGGACACTTGAGTATCATATGGTTGGTAGACATTGTTAACAATTGATTAAATTTTTTGTAAGAGTGATTTCTAATTGTAATTTTATTATTATTTGTTTGTCTATCAATTATTAGTTGGAAGAAAAAAAGAAGTCTCATCCGCGCGGATGTGTATATCTGGCCGGTTGTGTGATATCGCCGTCCGATGAGGACTCGCAAACATTTACAGTTTCTGCCGCTTGCGGTGAGGTCTACAAGTTGAAGGCGGCCGACGCTAAAGAGCGACAATTCTGGGTCAATAAACTAAGACAAGTGGCCTTAAATCAAGAGAACCGTATCGCCGCACAGCACCCGCCACTGCACTCATCAGTAGCTAATACAGTGTCGACTACCGGCTCAATGAAGTCGTCAACCAAATCGATGAAACGTCAAACCATTGGTGGCGGTACCGCCGGTAACAGCTCATCACTGGAAACGGTTCGCGATATACTCGTTCAAACTCAACGATATCAACGAACTTTAGTTAACTCTATTGAAGATTATACCTGTAATGATGAGGAACTCCTACTGATGAAGGCTACTACCTATTCGGCTGTTATGTCATTAGAGCAATGTTTTGCTATATTGTTGTCGATACAGAATTCAAAATTAAACTAAACTTAGATTTAAATTATTGGTTGTTATAAATTTTTTATAGTATTTTTGTACAAATAGTTAAATTAAAAATCGCGTGAAAAATCAAACGTTGAATCAATTAATTTTTTAAAAAAAATCTGTATTGTCATCCGATCCGAACAACTCATCGGATCCAAAGAAGTTGTCATCAAATTCGTTGTCCGTATCGACTTTGAACCAGCAATGGAAACACTGATTTATCATATATTTATGGCCAAATTATAAACAAAAATTTATACTAATTTAATTATTTTAATTAAATTTAAATTACTGTACAATTTATACAGTAAATACTGTAGATGACTATACAGTTGATTATATTAGATTATATTAAATTAATAGATTACAATACTATAGATTACAGTTAAAAAGTTTATATTATAATTAATTAATGTTGATTAGTTTTAAAATTTGTATAATACATGCAGTACATTGTATTTTACTGTATTATACAAAGTCAAAATTCAAAACCTTGTATTTTTCCAACCCTGGTTATTATACAGTAGTCGAAAATAATATCAGCTAATTTTGCATTAATAATTTTATTGAAAATAACGTCACATTTTAGTAGAGAAAAATTCAAATAAACAAAATATAATCAATATTTGTTCAATAAATTAAACCATTAAAAGATATCATCGCATGAAATAATAAATTACCCGTAATATTATATCATAAATATAAATTTTAAACATTTATTTTCTTTCTAATGTTTTTAAAAAAATAAATATTAGATATAAATAAATTAAATGTTAATTTTAGAAAGATTTATATTAGATAATATAGAAAATTATGTTAATATCATTTATTAAAATTATGGAAAATATTTTTAAATAATATTTTTGTTTAAACTTGCATTGAAATATATTAATGATTTATATTATTTTTTATCATCAATTATAAGTAATTGATGATATTTAGAAATAAAATCAAATCATATATATTTATACAGGTATATAAATATAATATAAAATTTTTAATATGTTAGTTATAATAGTTTAGCAAAAATAAATTCAGAAAATAAAGTAAAATTATACTAATTTAATAAATAATTACAATGATTACATTATAAAAATTATATTACTGTATATCTAAGATCAATATACAGGTAAAATATTGTGTAACAAAATAATGTAAATCATAAACAAATTGCTATCTATCCATAAATATTTTATACAATGTAGAATAATAATTAAGTTAATTAATTAAGTTTGAACATAAACATTAAAATATGTAATTACTAATTAGTGAATTATAATAATTTGTAGTTAAATTTATAACCAAAAATAAATATATATTAAAAAAAATTATACATAAATTATTATAAACAAATGCAAACTTTTAATATTAGCTTTACTGACATGAAGTTAACAAAAATCTACAACTATTTGATAGATTATTATAAGCTATTAAAAGAGTCAAAACCGACAAAAATAGATACATTGAAACAATTTGAACGATATCTGCAAAGTCCACTGATTGGTGTACTTTCGGTTACTTTTGAAGAGTACGCCAATAGACGTGTGGACAACAACAACCGATGCGGTCATAAACGACAACAATTACTAGAGTATGGACTTTGTGTGTTTGGTTGGCTAACAGTTGTCAAGTTTTCTGTGGCCGCACTGATCACCGAACCGACAGTTTGGCCGCTGATTGGCGATCCGTTTTATTTGACCGACAATCGGATGCTATTTAATTTAGTGGTTGCGTCGATTGCATTGAATGCATCGGCTATGCGGACAATATTTTTAATAGGTTTGCGATTCAATGTGTTTTTATTAAACAACCAGTAAATGAAATTTAATCTAAACATTGATTAATAAAAAAAATTAATTTACAGCTGAAAGACGCCATAACCTGGAGTTTCTTAATGATCTTTATTGTCTGCAAACCGGTTGCAATCATAGTCTTAATAAACAAAGCCTACAAAAAATGAACAACCGATGCATACTGTCCTACCAATTGATGCTCAAACAGATCCCATTGAATGCGTTGCTATTATTTTCACTAATCTATGGCTATTATACAATCACTGCCATCCAAAAACAAGACTACAACTATACCGTTGCGGTATCGTTGGTGTGGTTCGTATTGACCTCATTGGCCGCATGGGTAGCCGCGTCAATGCAAGGCATCAGCTATAGTCTGCTCTATCTTAGCCAATACTATCTGAGTATGAGATTCGCACAGTTAGACAATCACATAACTCATGAGTGGAAGTGTCACTTCAGACAATTATTGTTGAAATTTTTGAATAATCACAACCGTATTGTTGTCCTCACAAACAATTATAACAGATTTTTCAATCAAATTATTGCCATCAACTACTTGGCCGCTACCATAGCCATCAATTTGCTTCTCTATATAGCCTTTTTCGGAAGAGGTAACCTACTGTTCCGTATTGGCAACGGTCTGATAGCTGTAAATAAAATTTGTGTCATTTGTTTGGCCACATATTCGTCGGCAAAATTTTCCGAAAAAGTAATCTGAATTTATTTATTTTTTTAAATAAAAATTTCTATTTTGTATCTAATATTTTCAATTTTAATTATCACATCCATTAATAGGTACACGGATTGAATATTTCACTCTACAGTCTATTGATAGCCATTAAAGTAACTAAAGGATATGGGTTTAAGGTAACAAAAATTACAAACAAATAACAAACTTAAATATAAATACAGTAAAGTAGTTAAATATATTGTAATTAATAAAGAAAATTACTACTAAATTATGATTTATGTACAGATAATGCAATTAATTGAGCGCTTGTCTGGGCCTACAATTGGATTTTATTGTTATGACTGGTTTGCATTTAATATGCATCACTTTTCAAAGGTACATATAATAACAGTATAATTTGTGATAGAATGGCGGGCGCCTCCAGAGAAATATAATAAAAATATCTTTATTATGTATTATATAAATAAGCTATACTGTATTTATTAGCTCTACTGTATCTAAAGTTATCTTATGTTAAATTATACATGTAATTATCAAATATGATTATCATTAATAACTAATTTATGTTATATTTAATTATCGATTTTTATAATTATTATTATTAAGAATATTATGCTAAACAAATATATAAAGTTAAATGTTAATTATAATTATGTTAAATTAGTTAAATTAATTATTATAAGTTATATATACTCACACATGTAATACTTACGATTTATCGATACCATTACATTATATTATAAATAAAATTGAACTTGTGGGCCTACGGGCCTGCACTTGAACACACAAATAACGTCTACTATTATTATATGCATACAGCCTAGGAGTATTAACGGGGAAGGTAGTCCGTTTTCACGGAGAGCCCCCTGGAGATCCGATAAAGGCTTTCAATAGACTAAAAGCATTGACCAGTGGCCAGTGAGCCCCGAGAGGGTCACCCAATGATTACGTGACACCCGTGAAGTGTCCTTTAAGCTACCCGTACATAAATTACGCGCATTACCTTTGCAGTGATATCCATTATTTTATATATTCACGGTATCCGGTTATTCAGATCGTGTTAACGGGACCAACCTTTATAAATCATTAAACCATTCCCGTTACAGTGGCGCAGTCGGCAGGATATCACTGCCCATACCTATCTATCTCGCCTATCGCAATTATCGCCACGCATATACCATACAAAAGCCACTGACTATAGCCTATAAATAGCATTCAGTTATTATCACTATATATACATATCTAAAGCATTATTTAAAGCTTCTTTAATGAATTTAAACCTATAATCAGTATTATAATACAATTACCGTAAACTCAATATAGTACTCATACTATACAATAACCCAAAAAGAAATCTTTTTGAAAAATAATTTAATTCAATTCATATATCTATACTTATATCTCTATACTATTATGCTTTGCAATACAAATTAAACCATATATCAAAAAGAAATCTTTTTGAAACAATTCAATTAAATACAATTAACAAATAATGCTGTACTTAATACTAGTCCGCTATCTATAAATGCGATACCTATTTATATATACAATTAATTTCTAATTATACACAATACTAGTACCGCTTATCTAATCAAATATATACAGTATTTAAAATATATTATTACTGATCGCTAACTATATAAGCAATATTTACAAAACAATTTATTAATACTAAATACTGTATACAAATCAATTGCCGACTACTATCGGTACAAACAATACTATTTAAACAATTTAATAGAAATTAAAGTATTGTAAAATCCTATTTAAATATAAACTTATATTACGCTTAAAAATACATTTATAAATCACACTATAATTATATATCACATTTATTTAAAACACAATTATCGTACTTTTTAATGTACCGCTTATCCTATAATTATTAAATACAATTTATAATACATTTTATATATCTATCGTACAAATACTGTACATATATTGCGGCCTTAATTAAACTATTTATTATATACTATACATATCGGCCGTACACAACAAATACATTATAGCCTTTTCTATAATTATAAATACAATTAAAAAAATACATTTAAAATAATATTACACATTAATTGTAAAAACAATTTAAACAAATCGTTCAAACTAAATGTTTCTCAAATTATAATGTACTGAACAATAGTACACATTTAAAACTATTTAAAAACTATTTAATATTTAAATTACATGTTATACTATAAGTACACAATATTGTACATTACATTACACTATAATTAATTCTATATTATTTATGACAAATACAAGTCGCGCAAACAATTTCTAAACGCTAAATATATATTTAAGGGCAATAACTAAGCCTGACTTACGCAGCCGACAACAGGTGGACAGTCAGCATTTTCATACATACATACAGTCTACGTAGCCTGACCGAGCGGTGGACGACTAGTACGCATAGCGCATATATAAGCCGTGCAATAGACGCAACATAAGCCGTGTAATCTAACGCAAAATAAGTCGTATTAATCTCACGCAATTAGTAAGCCGTATAGTAAGCCGCGCATCAATAAGCCGCTAATACATCTCACATTCAAAGCCCAACTCAACCAAAGCGTAACACATATTTAAAGCGCCGACAACTCAATCATTGGGTTAATCTATATATTTAACAGATATTTTATATTCAATCAAATATGACTACCCGTACTATAGCCAAATATGATGGTATCACTAAAGACATTAAAATCCAGACCTGGCTTAAATTATATGAAATACATACGCAGTTCATGTCACCTATTGAACGTATAAGACATCTAAAATATAATTTAAAATATAAAGCTTTTCAATGGTACGGTAACGCCATAGCCGATCATAACTACACCAATTGGGATATCGTAAAAGATTTAATGTCTAAACAGTTCAGTCATATAACAGCACCGCCAGCTGCCGATATCTTACCTAATAAGTCTAATAATAATATTAGTAATTTTAATAACTTTTATAATGATAGTCGCAATAATATAAGCCGACCTTATTCTAATAATAGCTGCCGATCTAATGGCACACATAGACATTTTAAAAGTTATTTTACATCTAATGTTGCCAACACTCGTGCACACAATTCAAGGCAACAAAATACCAATATAATTACTAATAGATTCGGGAACATAGCATCACAAACCTTTTATAATACAAGCCATACATATATGATGCAACCAACAAATACACGCGGTAAACAACAACTTAACTATAACAGCGGCAAACATAATTATTTAACAACCGACTCAAAGACAGAGTCCATACACAAACCAGTAGCCATTAATAAAATTAAATCTAAACCCGTCTCACATATTCATGACACCGATAAACATAATATAAGTTACGATAGGTCGTGCCCTTCACTTAAGCCATCGGTTGTCTCAACTATTCGCACCGAAAAGAAAGAATTATGTTACGATAGGTCGTGCCCTTCACATATATTCTCCGGTCGCTTCACAAATATAAAGACTAATAAAGTCAACGACGGTAACACTCCTGAGCCTCTGCAAAAGTTTCCTGTAATGCCGGACGTCAGACAAAGCAATAATCCGATCATGGATTATAAATCGCTAAAAGTTCTCGACCTCTCCAAACAGTTACATACTAAAGTACCGCTCACTCCTCAGCTACTAAACCAATCACAATCAACGCTATATGAAATTAAAGATAACGGAGATCGCTGTAGTCAAATCTCCGACACAAATATGCGAATTCCTGCCGTAAGTCTTATAAAAAAATATAGCTCGTCTACACCATCACAGCCGCCCATACAATCAATACAACAAAATCGCTTAAATAAAGTTCCCATTACGCAACCACTGGACATACCTAATTATCGCAAATACCGCGAAATACTTATCACTTCAATTATGTCCATATTAATTAAAATTTATTTATATCTAATGTCTCATAATAGCAATGTATACATACAGGACATTACTATCTATTGCACACTTAACTACACAATTAAAATCATTGTCCTTAATTTATTATATCTTTCAATACATTGTCTATTTAATATTACAAGTTAACTACCGACACATTCGGTTCAAAAACATATTAAATATATCTTTAATATTATTATTATATACTATTTAAAAATTTATTATGTTTCTTTATTTAAACTATTATTATGTTATATTATTTATCAATTATTACTTCTTCAATATATTAATTCTACGATTACACGATTAACATCGCGCCGCAAAAGTACCGTAAAAATCACCATCACATATATAGAACTTTCTCCTACGTCAAAAGTTCTTTTTCAAACGTGGAAGAATGTGATAGAATGGCGGGCGCCTCCAGAGAAATATAATAAAAATATCTTTATTATGTATTATATAAATAAGCTATACTGTATTTATTAGCTCTACTGTATCTAAAGTTATCTTATGTTAAATTATACATGTAATTATCAAATATGATTATCATTAATAACTAATTTATGTTATATTTAATTATCGATTTTTATAATTATTATTATTAAGAATATTATGCTAAACAAATATATAAAGTTAAATGTTAATTATAATTATGTTAAATTAGTTAAATTAATTATTATAAGTTATATATACTCACACATGTAATACTTACGATTTATCGATACCATTACATTATATTATAAATAAAATTGAACTTGTGGGCCTACGGGCCTGCACTTGAACACACAAATAACGTCTACTATTATTATATGCATACAGCCTAGGAGTATTAACGGGGAAGGTAGTCCGTTTTCACGGAGAGCCCCCTGGAGATCCGATAAAGGCTTTCAATAGACTAAAAGCATTGACCAGTGGCCAGTGAGCCCCGAGAGGGTCACCCAATGATTACGTGACACCCGTGAAGTGTCCTTTAAGCTACCCGTACATAAATTACGCGCATTACCTTTGCAGTGATATCCATTATTTTATATATTCACGGTATCCGGTTATTCAGATCGTGTTAACGGGACCAACCTTTATAAACCATTAAACCATTCCCGTTACAAATTAATAAACAATAAAATAAAATAATTCAAAAAAATAACTAAAACTAATACTAATAATTATCATTATTATTATCCATAGTATCTAATTGGTTGTATTGTATTTTACTTTTTATTGGTCGCTATTATTAATGATTATATAAAAAATTAAAGTTAATTTTGTTTAAATGTTTTTTAATTTTAACAATATTTTTTATAATGTGTCAAATGTATTGTATAATATTTAATATGCCTTTAAAAATAAGTTTTATTATTTTAGAGTTTAAGTAAACAAAAATTTAAAAATAATCTAATAAAATTTCACAGATTTAAAATTTTTTTATTTAAAACATTTGTGAGTAATATGTTTTCATATTATTTAACGATATATCGGAACTCATGTCTACCGTCGGTTGGCTGACATAACTCCTATTTCGGGACATTTGTTGTGCGCTTTGCCGTGAGTTTCGGCGACTCTTATTGACGGCTGGTTTTGTGTTGTGATATACTTTGAGAGCGTATAACAAATTTTCGGTCAAATCCGGCCAAAATGTACTCTAAAATATAAGCAATAATTAATTACCGGTAATATAAAGCCATAAAAAACATCATTGAATTTATTACCCTATTTAGAGTTTTTCTCATTGTTTCGGTTATTAGTTCATAAAATGCGAGTAACGTTGCAAACGCCGAACCGCCGATGAGAATCAGGAAGACTCCGCCGACATTTTTCATACCCATCTCTATGGAACTGGAGGTCGGTTTGCTTAGACAGGCGCCGCCACCGTATTTTTGTTGCCACCAGCGCTTCTTTAGCATCCGAAGTACGCCTCGCTCTTGAAGTTTTAGTATGGCTTCCGATAGGCTGTTCCTCAGTTTTGATCCTTTCAAAGATATTTGTAGATTTGTTTTATTTAAAAAAAATATATTTAATTTTTTTGTATACAAAACACTATTTTTAAGTACCTTTTCTGGTGGCGATACCGTAGCCTTTGTTATCGAGCAAACCGCCCACTTGTGTTAAATTGCAATTCCTTTCCACAATAAACTCAATGATTGCCGACTCCATAAAAAATGCATACTTTCCGTCGGCCTCCTCAACGGTGTCCCTACCGATAGAGTTGGACGACGTAAGTACTTCGGGATTATTGTCCATAAACTGAGCCATCTTTTGATAGGTAGATATGTTTGAACTCTACGGTAAAGTGGTATTTATAAAAAAAAAAAACTTAATTATATTTTAAAAACTTAAAACATTTATATTACAGGTAATAATAATAATACCTTAAAAAATCTATGTGTCGCACCATTGCCTACGCAGCCGTACTTAATAGTCGACTGTGCGGCCAATGTTTCAACACTATCGAAAGGATAAGGTGTCTCCTCTACGGTTAGAAATGCGGCCAAATTGGCCGTATATGACGAGGCAATGATTAATGTAAAGAAAGCCCAAACACCTCCTATCACACGAGTAGATAGTGATCTATACAACAAGTAAAGCAAATAAATTAATGATAATAATTGTTACTAAATTTAAGTGTCAATACTTGGGTGCTATATCTGATCCCTGTTGCATAATACCGCCGATAGCGTACCACAAACTGTTGGACATGTAGTACATATTTTCGAGTTCCTGTCCCTCTTTACGACACGGTTTCTCAATAACCCATTCGTACGGAGAGAAGCGGCCAACGTATACCTGGATAACGCCCACTAAGCTCAGTATAGCAAACATTAGGATCCATAGTCGGGTTGAAAATGGTAACATAAATGACCACAAAGAGACAATCTTTGACGGCTTCTTGTATAATATACTGATACCGGTCGACATAAACGGTAATGTAAAGTCAATTGCCCGTTCCCGCTCAGAGTTAATTGTCAAATCGGCTACAGCTATGTCAGCAACACCAGAGACCACTTCTCCTACCATACCATTCCATTTGCCTGTTTTCTTGTCCTGTCCGCCCCATTGACCATCGCTGACAGGGTTTATAATGTACTTGAAGTTAAGCTCTTTTGCCAACTCGTCAATCAAATCAATGACATATCCTTCATATTTATCATTTCCCGAATAATCTTTAACCACTTGTCTCTCCATAAAGAAAGGTGGATTGAATACAGACGTTACCCGAATAAATGACTGATCAATTAGTTCCGGCAAATAGTGTTTGGTCCACAATTGGTGTCTCTCTATTTTTCCGTTAACCCATCGGCCAGTCTATTATATAAAAGTATTGTATAAATAAAATAAAACATATTTTCTTTGCTAATAACTTACGACATCATACCCTTCCTGAGTGAGAATTATTATGTCGAAAGTCAGGTTTGACCGAAAACCCGAATTATCAAACTTTACTAAACCAGTCATTCCGTAGAATATATTCTATTAGTTAACAAAAAAAATATATTATATTTTGATATTTGATATTTTCTGAATACTAAATATATAGTATTATACAGTACTTGTCTCATGTAATTAAGTAATGTAGTTCCGTGAGGCCAGGGCTGACCATTACTACAAGATATGGGATCAATCTTTAACATAATATCTTCAAAATGGTCTAAAGCTTTGGCCACTAATTTGATTCCATCGTAAATCAATGCACTTTCAGTCTAAACAAAACATTAATATAATATTTTATATAAGATTATTATTAAAAAATAATTTTCATCATTTTTATTTATTGGTTAAATAAAACCTTAACATAGTTTGGTCTATACATTAGATCCCATTTGGCCTCATCGATGGCAAATGATTGCCAATTATCTAAAAATTGTATAACATCTACATTATCGGGATTGACAAGTCTAAGGGCTGTCAACTTGGCACTGGTATACTTGAATTTGTCTAAATTCATGGTATGTAAGTCCTAATAGACATAAAGATATTTTTTTAATAAATAAGTATTTTGTGTAAGTTTTTGTTTTTGTAAAGAATCTAAATTTAAAAAATGCAAAACAAATGTGTATATAATAATAACTAATAATATTGTTCAGTAATATAAAAAATTATTCAAAATCATAATAAACTTAATTACTATATAATTAATTTTAATGGGCAACAAAACACAAAAATAAATTTATTATATAAAAATTTTTAAAGATATTTTTAGTTTTGTTTGATTGATTAACAAATAAATTATTTAATACTCTTTATTAATTCATAATTCAGCAAAAAATAGTTCAAATAAAAGTTATAAATATAAAAATAAAACAAACTTATTGTAATGCAAAGCATTTTCATTAGTCTGTTGTTGAAAAACAAAAGATTTTGTTCACTATATTTGAAAAAAAAGTTAAGCAAAATAAATAAAACTATTGTAATAAAATTTTATTACAAAAAAACCTCAATAATTCATTACTAATATTTCTAAGTTTTAATACTAACAATTAAAAAAAATTTAAGAATAATCATGAATTGAAGCCAAAATAAAATACAATACATTTAACTCACGGAATTCATTATAAAATAGTGATAATTCTCTGTTAGGGCTCCCGCTTGAAGTGCCTGTAATTTAAGACAATTACTAATTAAAAATTTTATTTTTTTTTGTTAATTCATTTACATGTCTTAAGACTTCATGGATATCATAGGCATCGAGTATAATATGGAGACATCCGTTGTCTCTGACTTGTCTGAAGATATCACGAAATGGTCGATTGGGGACCAATTGAAACACTTTAATCGTCCACTTTTCCAGTGCTGCCATTTGCAGCAACTCTTTGAACGGAACAATTGATGAGCTGTGCTCGTAGACGATGGCAAATGTAGACCATTGCCATTCGCGGATCAGATCGGCGATGGCCAGTGTTATCAGTGCGGGTCGCGGATAAAGATTGAGAGACAGATCGGCCCGAAACGATTCGAAGTCATAGCGGGTTTCGATGTGCGGTATTTCGAAGGCCTCGCATATGGACTGCACGTGCATTGATGCTATGCTATCGGACGGACCAAATAGTCCAACAATACTATTCCTCAATAGACCACAAACTTTACAAAGATTATGAAATTTATATAAAAATATTATTAATAAATAATATTTAACTAATTAATAGCTTTCACTAGAGATCTACACTAGTATATAATTAACAAACCCTTTTGTTGTGCATTATAACTATTAGGTCCATCAATATAGGCTACCTGTGCTATTAGAGTGGTTTCGGGAAGTATATGTGAATCATTATTGATACGATGTATTGCATAACGAAATGCCAGCTCATGTTCCTGTTGGTCGACAGTAAACAGAGCACCTGTATATTTTCATAAGGAATTACATACTAATAATTATAACAAATAAATTAGATATTATTTATTAGAAAAATATTTTGCAAAATATATATATATAGAAATATAAAAACATTTTAGATGTTTTTAAATGTAAAATAGTTTGAAACAAATTTTAACATTTGTAAAGTGCAGTAGTATTCATGATTGTAACCTAACAAACAAATAGACTAAATCAATGTTTTATATCTTAGATAACATGTTTTACTTTATTAATAGTCATTGTTATAAACAATTAGATTTATTGTTTGTATAAATAAAAAAATAAATTACAAACTCGTGAAAAAAATCTAAAGTTAATAATAAAACTTTTCAAAACTTACTGTAAATTTTTGTTATGAAAACAAAATAATATAAAGTAATTTACTATAATATTAACATTTAATGTTTGTATTAATTAATTGTTATAACAAATTTATTAATAATAAATAGATTTTAAATTATTTTTTAGTGTATAATTTTTATTATAATAAATTTGTTTGTTTATTAATAATTAATGTGTTAAAAATAACATTATTAAGCGCATTATTAATAAGTTTGTATATCTTATGAAATTTGCTGTCAACAGTATATTGTGTACATTATTATAACAAAAAATAAATATTAATACATTATTTAAAATTCATAATTATTTATATCCAACAAATTAGTTATTATTATTAACAACATAACAGTCTTTATAGCAATTACTAATAAAATATTATAAAATTTAGTAAACTATTTTTAATATAACAACAAATTATTAATAGTTTAATTTTTAAAAAGTCATAATTAAGTAAGTTATCTAATAGAAGATGAAATTTTTTATTTTTCCTAATAAATGCAAACAAATAAATTACTACTTAAAACAAACAGATATTATCTTTGAAAATAATTAATTAATATATAAATTATTAGTCGAATAATACATTCAAACAGAGAATATTCTCTAAAAAAATTGATAAATTCTTACCGATTCTAATAAAGTTCGGCAAATTTTCTACACTTGAAATATAACTAAATGTAAATATACTAAATATAAATAAATTATTTACACTTTTACACATTTTTCAATATAATTCATTTGTTTTTATTCAATTGTAGTTTACTTTATATTAATATTATTAAACAATAATTATTATTTAAGTCAAGTATAATTACTTAAAATTTGCAATTGTTATTTAAAAATTATATACAAAACATTTTTATATAAATATGAGAAGATTTCTTTTGAAAATTAAAATTGAATTTTTTCCGACACATTTTCTTTGCAAACAATAAACAGTAAGTACTGTACTTTTAAAAACCTAATTATAGTATATATATAACTCATTAGTTGTTAGTTATTATACTGTTTTTATTATTATTATTATAACTTATTGTACTATACATGTAGTATTTATACATCAAAATGTGTTTCATAGTCAATACAATGCCGACTAAATGCTTGTGGATATTACGGTAAGTGTTTTGTCAAATACATTACAAAACAACCGTATGGTATGCTATGGATTGGTTTGAAAGCCAAGGAATTTGCCTTTTTATTTAAGTACTGTCTCTCAAAATATGCATTTTATGAGTTTTTGCATAACTTTTTTTTTATTAGCTCTAACTCTAATAAATAAGTTTTATGTGTGTTTTAAATACAGTAATTCCTGTATTATGTAACTAAATGATGCGTTTGTTGGCACCAGTAGTTGCATAGAATACCCTCCTTTGGTTTAGAAACAAAATGTTAAAATTGAATAAAATATCCAAAAATATATTACTATTTATAATTTATTGATAGATTAATTGATGTTTGAAAAAAACAGTAGATAGTTTAGTATATATCGATGTACTAAAAGTTAAAAATATAATTAAAATGTAAAACATGATAAATATAATTAATTATTATTATTATATTTATATTATAAATAGACAGGTATAATCTTAAACAATATTATTTGTAAACTTATAAAAACTATGAATTTATAAAAAAAATATGATACTATTTTAATCATAGATAATTTTTGCTAATGATTATAATTTGATTTAATATTAATATCATCGTTAATAATTTGTTAACCATTATTATTATTATTACTATTGTTAATATTGGACAAATACATTAATTTTCTTATATGATATTTATACTTCAGCTTAATTGGCGTCATATATAATAATTAAACATTTATTTTTTTTAGTTTAATATACCTTATATATTAATATTAAACTACTTATGCTTATTTCTAAAGAAAAATAAAAACTACTATACAATAATAAATTATAAAATAATATTTATAATTATAGTATCAATAATGACAGAAATAATCAGAAATCAGTAGAAAACAATAAATTTAATTTATATAATAATAAATCTTTTAAGAAAAGTTTTTTTTTTGAATAGACATTTATGATTAAATTGGCAAAACTTATACTTAGATTTTAAGTATTATTTCTAAAGTAAATTCAAGTATTTACTTATATTGTGTATTAAAATATTTAAAAATACATTAAATTTGTATTATTTTCTATAGTATATTAAACATTAACTTATTTTTACTATAAAATTCTAATACTATTTATCTGATAAATAAATATACAAAATATACTTAATTATTAACACTAATGACCAGTCATTATAAACACGATATTTTTTTATCTAAACATTTTATTATAATACAGAAAAAGTTAAAATTATTTATTGTCTAAAAAAACTACTTTTAAATAAACTTTTATTTACATAAAAGATAATGATTAGTAAACTATTTATTTGTCATAATTAATATAAAATAATAATAATAACAACAACGACAAAAGTTTACATTATATATAACAGAAACAAAATTACGATAATTTTATCAATTATAATAATAACCGGATAGTTGTGAATTTAGTTTCGGTGTCGACTCGGATCGGCTACCAGTGAAGCTGCGACTGCCGGTCAAACTTCTCTTACTCTTACTTCGGGTCGGTTTACTTGATATCTGACATCTCATCGCAAACTTGATGTCGTCCATCAATTCAATCGCAAAATTTTCCTTTTGATAACAAAATCAATTAAAAATTATATTTTTTTATCAAAACATATATTACAGACCTCTTTGACTTCTTTTTTGACTTTATAGACAAATTCACACAAAGCCATGAGTACGGCAACAATGGATCCGCCGACTAATACAAGGAAAACTCCGCCCAAATTTTTCAGACCCAACTCAGTCAACGAACTGCTAGATTTGGCGATACACTGTCCGCCTCCCTTTTGTTTCCACCACCTTTCCTTTAGTTGATACAACACTCCGTCCTCCTGGAGCTTCAGTATGGCCTGTGATAACGGATTACGTAACGGTGATCCTTAAATTGTTGAAAACAAATAATATGTATAACAAAATATAGTTAGTATATTATAGTATGTATTATAACTAAATAAATATATATATATATATACCTTTTCGGGTGGCAATAGCGTAACCTTTATTATCGAGTAGTCCACCCACTTGTGTTAGATTGCATTGTCTTTCGACAATATACTCTATGGGCGCCGCTTCCATAAAATAGGCATATTTTCCTTCATCAGCCTCGACCCGTTCCCTTCCTGCCAAACCACCCATAAAGACATCGGGATTTTTTCCCATAAAATCGGCAATCTTTCTATACGTTGATATATTAGAATCCTGTTTAACAATAATAATAATTGAACCGTTAGTTATTTCGTCCCTTCCTAGAGCTCATGGACCTGTGGTGTGTGTGTGTATGTGTGTGAGCTAACCGTAAAAAATCGATGTGTTGCGCCTCCATTGGTGGCACCGTATTTGATTTTAGTCTGTGCGGCCAACTGTTCAACATTTTCAAACGGATACGGTATGCTCTCAACGGTTAGAAAGGCGGCTAAGTTTGCCGTATACGATGATATGATAATCAACGTAAAGAAGTACCAAATGGCTATAATAACACGTGTCGACAGTGCTCTGAAAAAAACCCGTAAAAAATAACATTAAATTAGTTTATTGTGTGTCTGTGTCCGGGTATTTGTATACTTAGGCGCCACATCTGATCCCTGTTGCATAAGTGATCCAATAGTACACCAGAAACTGTTGCGAACGTTGAGAACATTTTCGAGAACTTTGTCGTCCTGACGACACGGATGAGGATTACACCACTCGTATGGTGTGAACCGACCCGTTAGAAACAATAGTACACTGACGCCAATAAACGTACCCAACATATAGATCCAGACGATTGTCGAAAATGGCGACAAAAATGACCACAAAGAGGTTTCTTTGGTTATCGGTTTCTTGTATAGTATAGAGATTCCGGTCGACATAAATGGTAGAGTAAAGTCGACTACTTTTTCCCGGTCCGAGTTGACGGCCAAATCGGCTACGGCAATGTCAGCGTCATCGTTAAGGACTTCGCCAATCATACCATTCCACGTGCCCTTTTCGGGTACATATTTGCCGTACTGTTTGTCTTTAACCAAATGTATTTCCACCCGAAAGTTGAGCATTTTGGCCAACTCGTTGACTAAATCTGGTACATAGCCTTCATATTGTTTATTACCACTCATAGACTTCTTATTTTGGAAAATCATAGTAAACGGCGGACTGTTGGATGTGGTTACCCGTACTATCGGCAACTCGAGCACCGATTTAGCAAAATGTTTGGACCACAACTCGTTTTTGGTAACCTTTCCGTATCCCCACTGACCTGTCTATTATTACCATTGAGGAAGTCGAGTACAGATATCGACAAAATTTATTAATAATATGTTAATGATATCCAATTATTATATACTGTATCACTACTTACAATATCGTATCCATCATGAGTTAAGCAAACGATATCAAATGTAAAGGCCGTTCGTAGACCTAAGTCATCAAACTGGATGACCCTCGATATACCTTCAGTGTGCACCTGTCGCATATAATTGATAACTGAGCTGCCGTGAGGCCATGGTCTCTCCTCATTGCAGTCGATGGGCTGTACTTCAAATGTGTGCAACTCTTTCAACGCAACGGCCAACACTTTAACCGCATCGTAGATCAGTACGGTATCGGTCTAATAGTTGTTGGGCAATAAATTATTAAAATTTATAGTTTATTTCAACTATAATATTGTATAGTAAAGCACATATAATGTAAATTTACATTAAAATATTCCGGTGCTCTCAGCATATGGCGTTTACCCAAACGATTAGCATAGATATGCCATTCCTCAATCAAATTGCTAAACTCTAAACTGTTTTCATCGACAATCCTAAGCGAAGTTATATTAGTACGACTGTGTCTGAAATCCTCTAAATCCAGTGTCAATAAGTCCTAATAAACAATACAAAATATTACAGTAAAACAAAAAAATCTTTACTTAAAACAATGTTAAAAAACATATTTCAAATAAATTAATAAATATTTTTTTTCGTTGATAACATACCATACATGTAACCAAATAGCTATATTCTTCGGTAATTAGTCCCACTTGTTGTGCCTAACAATTTAGTGGGAAAATAGTTTTAAAAAAAAAATAGTTTTTTATATTAAAAATATTAAAAATATTGAAATACCTGATTGAATACTTCGACAATCGCCTCTTTTCTGACATCTAATATAATGTTTCTCTCTTTGGACTCCTTTAGCTTCCAGAAGATATCCCTAAAGGGAATGTCATCTTTCAATTGAAACACTTTTATATTCCACGTGTGATTCATTGACTTTTCAAAAAACTCCTTAAAATGTATAATTCCTGTGAATGTGTTTTTTTTGTTGTTATTATTGTTACCCAATGTTTAAAATAATTTTTAATTGAATTGAATAACAAAAATAAGTAATACTAACCGTCATTTCTATCATAAACAATAGCAAATGATTGCCATTCCCACTGTTTAATTATATCCATATAGACGCGGGACAGTAGTGACGGATGTGGATACAGATTGATGGATAGGTCGGTGCGATGAGACTCGTAGTCCAGTCTAGTCTCGATGTGCGGTATTTCAAATGTCTCGCATATGGACTGAACATGCATTGACGGTATACTATTTTGCGGCCCGAATATGGCCACCACTCCATTTCTCAATAGACTGCAAACTTGATAAAAAAAAATAATAATTAAAAAAGTATGCTAGATTAATTTTAAATAAATTAAAAATATATATATAAATATTTATTAGTGGGATATTGTCATTACCTTTTTGTTGGGCAAGAAAACTGTCAAAATTATCTACCCGTTCTACTTGTGCCACAAATGTGACCGATTGATGGCTAAATAGGGCACTGTTACCTAACTGACTGATCGCTATACGAAATGCCAGTTCCTGTTCCTCCTGTTCCACAGTAAACAGTCCGCCTAAACATTTTAATGTAAGTCACATACAATATTATTAATAATAAACTGTAGAAATTATTATTTAATACAAATTTAATATCAAAAATATGTTTTATATCTACTAGTATTTTGTTATTATCATTGAGTTTTAAACATTTTTAAATACAATATATTGACAAACATTGTATTACAGTACTTACCGATTCTTATAACACTTGGAAGACATTCAATAATATTTATAATAATAACAAAAATAGTGACAAAACTAATAAGGATTTTATTATTAAAATATAACAGCATTTTGTTATTGCATTATTAATACTATATTTATTTCAATCAGCGATGAATCAATAAGTTTTAAAATAAAAAGTTTACATAATAATCATAATAAATATCTTTCTTTTTAATTAATTGTAATATTAAATTTATGATATATTTAAAATTTTAATTTTCTATGTGTTTTTTTTAAATGAATTCATAGTACTGTAGTAAGTAAAGGCACTGGTAGTGTAGTAGATCTTTACTGTATGACTGTATAAGACAGTGCCAACTAATGGGTCGGTGCTATAAATAGTAGTCATTACGGAGATATTCTGTATAATCTTATACATGACTGCACTGTTATATAGGATAAGAAAACATTGTTAAGAATATGATATACACTGAATATGTTTTTTTATCCACAAATTTGTTGTATAAATAAAAATAAAATTTAAGAGAAAAAAAATAATTTAAAATGTTTTGCAAACAACAATTTATTTATAACTTATTTATAGACTCTGGTAAAGGGTTTTCTCTAATAAGACAAATAAAATTGATGTTCTCATAATGTCGTATTTAAAATGATAAATAACTATTTATTTATGTTTATAAAGACAAACAAACAAATAATTACATTTTCATTGAAATTATATAGTGTAATGATAAATAAATTATTTTCAGCAATTAGTTAGTATTGCATAACTTAATGATTATTAAACATTATAATTGTTTATAATTAACTTTTTTTTTATTAATAATATACAGTATACTTAGTATATACTGTATATATATTTCTTAAATAATATACTTTTATATTTTATTTAATATTTTAATTATATAAATTAGTAAGTTAATGGAGAATTGTTTCAAGTTAAATTAGTATATATATATATATATATATATTAAATATATTATATAAACACAAAAATTATTTTTTATTTTTAAAAAATGTGGGGAAATCCGTAAAAATTATAATGTGGTGTGAGCGGGGATATCATATCCTATCGATAATCATACTATTAAACTATCAATACAGCAAAAAATTATATATATTTAAAATTTATTTGTTTTTTTACCAGTCTCATTTATTATCGTCAAATGAGTTTTTTAACCACATATTTTAATAGGGTCTTAAAACACTAATAGTTTATTTGAATAGGATAATTATTTATATAATAATAATAATACAAATAATAATAATAAAAATGACAATGAAATACATTTGTTTGCTATTGATCTGTATTTGTTTGATAACATTGGCTACTAGTAAGTTAAAAAAGCAATTAATAAAAAATACGTTTACGTTATAATAATTTAGATATAATAATAATATAATGTTTTTTATGTACTATTTAACATAAATATGATTTTTTAAAATAAATAATTTATTGAAAATTTTCAAAGGTCAGGGATCAAGACGTATACCTGGGAAACGTATCCTAAGCCGTAGTTGTCCACCAGTGAATCCAGCCATCAGGTGTTTCCGACACTATGATCAGTGTCATAGTTTGGGTAAATCGTGTGGTCGTATCGGCACCCGATGCTGTCCGGGTGAATGTGGCAACAAATGTGCTTAAAAATTACAGGAATTAATGTTTGTATAGAGTTTATTATTATTATTTTTTTATCAAAATGAATATTAATTATAAACAAGTGGGTATTTTATATTACACCAAAAAATGTCCAATTTAACAAATAATAATTGTTATAAATTAAATATTGTTGAAAACTTGTTGTTTTTTATATATAAATGATACACATAATTTGGTTTTCAAACAAAAAAATTTGTACAAAATATTTTTTTTATATAATTAGCGAATAAATAATTAAATACAAAAAAAAAGATATTTGATAAATAATTAAAGGACATTAAACAATTTGAATGATGCCTTAAATATTTCGCACGTCCTCTCGTGAAAACTGTTGATAGTCGAGGAATGGTTAGCCCGTAACACCATATAGGTCTCATCGGAGCTATATTTAGGCCACGGGAGGTCATACTGTGGAAGTACTCGTCTATTTGAATGTTAATTAATTAATATATTGCCCAATATTTTTTTAATAATTAAAACAAATATATTGTATATCAATATATATATATTTATTACCCATTTTTTGCAAAATGTGACCAAATTTTCATCAAACGTTTGCTGACATTGATATCCTCTTTAGAGAAATATTTTGTACGTCTCAATGGATACCCGAAGACAAAGGGCACCTCCTCGTAGTGACTGACGCCCTGCCAGTCGCCAAATTTGGTGGCCTTAGACTTGTGATCAAATAGATACATGTAAACGGTCTTATTTCTGGCCACCAATTCGTCGGCCATAAATATTGTCGGACATGTTATCGAGTTATCGCCCATTGCTTTAGTCAACCGGTTAACATTGTTGATAGGTGTGTCCGCTTCGGGTCCCGTTATCATTGAATTGGCGATCAACTGTGCAATGTTGGGCGCAATTCCAATTTTTTCCGACAAATACCACATAAACATATTGCGAGTCTCGTCCAGTGTTCGCATTAGCGGATAGGTATGGCGTCGGAAAACTTGCGGTGCAGTCACATGCATGAGCCACGAGCCCTCATTGGGAACCACACCGGCCAACAGCTCTTTGATATTGGAGAACAGGTTAGTGCTGTTGAGCAGATTGGCCGGTGCCTGAATGTCATTATAGTAGCCATCGGGTGTGGGCACAAATGCTACCTGTGATGAGTCCATTATTTGTGTCTGAGCCTGAAATATATATAAATAATATGAATTTAATAATATTTATATTTAAAATAAAATAACAGTTAGTATATTAACATCAATAATCTGGTTGAGAGGCAATTGTCTCAAACATTGTATAACTTTTGACGGATTGGTCCGAAACTCTCTGTTTTGTGCACAACCAACCAGTTTGGCAAACCGTTCGCCGTTTTGAACCGTTTTCGATGTCAATATTCCGGGTAATAGTGCGCCGCCACTGGCCGTAATGGCCCGCGAAAACAAATTTTTAGTCAAATCGCTAGCCATCAGTATACCAATGCTAATAGCACCGGCACTCTGTCCAAACGGTACCAACTTTTTCGGGTCGCCACCAAATCTCTGTATGTTATCTCTGATCCAATACAATGCCAATGCCTGATCATGAATGCCCATATTGCCCGGTGCGTCCATGGTTTGGGCATTTAAAAATCCCAGTGCACCATTTCTAACAACAACAAAAAAATAAAGTTTCATAATATTATGAAAAGTCGTATAAATAAAATTAAAAAAAAAATATTTACCGATAGTTGATCGACACGACTACAACATCGCCATAAGTGGTTAATACTCGGCCATCGGTATCGTACAGATTGGCCGAATTATAGTTGAAAGCCCCTCCGTGTACCCAAATCATAACTGTGCGCAACGATTTTGGCCGAATATCGGGTGTCCATATATTGAGTGTTAGACAGTCTTCGGATATTTTTGTGGTAAAATATCTCATCGGTACCAAACTTTTAGGTAAAACTTTATGCGGACACATATCGCTAAAGTTGAACGCTTTATAGACACCTTTCCAGCGTTTGATTGGTTCCGTTCGGGCAAACCTACGATTACCGACTGGTGGTTCCGCGTAGGGTATGCCGAGAAATGTGTAGACAGTCGACCCAAATACGTTCAAAGGCTTTCCCTCGACCATACCGGTGGTTGTCTTAATTATTGGTCTCAATATCATTTGGGTCTCAATGGGTGATACCTTATCATTGGTGGTGATATTATTATTATTATTATTGTTTTTATTGTTAATACTGTCCCGTTTGGAGTAAGTCTTTGCCCGAGACGTGGGCACTGCTGACGACGCCGAAGCCTTAATGTCTTTGTTATCGATAATGACCGGCAAATTGTTGTCTGTGACGACTTTGCGGGCATAATCAGTGATGTTGTCGTCCAAACAATACTGGGTTTTCTCGATGGTGTTGTTCTTCGAGCGCCAAATAACGACAACACAAGAAGTGAATACCACTACCGCCAGTATCTGTGTTTTGACATCAAATAACATGTTTGATATACAAATAAAAAAAATTATATCATTTATTTTTAATTGAAAAATTATAGTTTGCTTTGAGAATATTTTAATTAATTATTTTTTTAATGCTTTTTTGTTGATTAGTTTTTATTTATTTATTTATCACAAACTAATAAAACTTTCTATTGTTTTGTCAAGTATTTCATAAATGTCACACAAATGTTAGGATAAATTTCTTAACACTTCTAAACTTTTATATAATTATTTTACAGTAATATCTATTTAGTTTATCAATAGGTCACTGGATATATAAGTAAAAAATATTTAGTATAAAACTTTATAAACTGTTTTATTACTTAAAGCAAAAGATTATTTTCTTTAGGTATTAATACTTTTATTTTGATTATTATTATTATTATATACAAAACTATTTGATTGACTTAATAGAAAGTGATTACAATTTTTGAGTTGAATTTCAAGTTCAACATATAATTTTTTTTTTCATTAATATCTTATAATATAAACGTTTAGTCCGATTATTATTGCGGTAATTGTTTTTGCATTGAATTCAAACAAAAACACACAAAAACAGAGAGAGAGAGAGAGAGAGAGAGAGAGAGAGAGAGAGAGAGAGAGAGAAAGTGTTGTTATTAAATGTTTGATTACAGACATCAGCCCCGAGGCTAACAAAACTTTTTTAGATAGAGTATGACAGCTATAATAGAGTAAAAGAGAGAAAGAGTGAGAGTATACCCTACAAAAAAACAGGGAAAGTGATGCCTAATAAAGAAAAAAAGTGTAGTCACCTGAAAGTCAAGTCAAACTCCTTGTTTAGCATACAAAATGCCTATCAATTTATTGTGAATATTAGCTTTTTGACAGATAGTTTATACATCAATAATATCAACAATTTGAAATTTTGCTATAAAAATGGTAATTTTTATTTTTAAATAGCGCTAATATATATATGATAGTAACTAATCGAAAGCGGACATAAAAGTAATTTAAAATTAAAATTAACTACATTTCATAACCAACAAAAAAAATAATATTATTATTGATATATTTTATAAATTACAAACACAAAGGATTGCAAAAATTTTTATTATACTAAAAATATGCTAAAAATTTCTTCTATTATTTTCTTTATTATACAGTAATTCATTATAATACAAAAACCTGTGCTATAATACATTAAATATAAACAAATTGAATACTAATTATAACCTTCATTGACAGTAAAAGTGAGTTTCAATTGTTTTTTTGTTTAAAATTTTTTATTTACTATTAAATATATTGTAGTTGCCAATAGCTAGATTACTAAATGTACTAATATCTTAAATTTGCGCATTTTATTTAAAAAATAATTTTAATATATATATATTAAATTTATAATATTTTATTACAAAATTTTATTAAAGGTGTGTTAATTTGTTTACTTTGTTTAACATTGTAATAATTAATTTTTATTATTATTATTTTTATAACCCTTAAATATATAATTAATATGTAATTTACCAAAACATTTATTCAGTATGAAAAAAAAGTATTATAATTATAGTAACATTAATGATGTCTAGTAAACCTAATTTTTTTCGACTAATTTCAAGCACAAAAATAACCTTGATAATGTTGCAATCTAGTAATTGTTAGTATTTTATGTTAGTTTATTTAATCTAATTTTAGTTTTTTTTAAAATATAAAATATTATAATTATCTTAATTAAGTATAAATATATTTATAGTTGATAAATATTGCAAAAAAAACTATTAATTTAATTTTATAAAATAATATTTAATATATTTTAATAGTCATTTACAGGATATTAAGTAAAAAATCCTTGATAGACATAATACTAACATAAAAAAATCAATAAACAAATTATAATTAATTACTTATAAATATTTTTTTTATTGTCATGATAGTTGCAGATATATATATAATTATTAAATAATATTTTACACATTAAAATGACACCTTTGACTTTTAAATAATTAATTAAAACTATTGTATTAATTATATAAATACTGTATATATAATTTTATATGAATACAGTATTTATTTTATACTGTATCATATATAAATATACTGTAAATTAAAAGTAATATATTATTTAGTTAATAGAAAATAAAATTATTGTTGTTATTTAATGTTTTTTGATTAGATAATTGTTGAAAATCAATCATTCAATTGTCATTTATCAATTTATTTACTAGATATTTAATTTGTGATTTCAAAAAAAATATTAATAAATATTTTAATAATTGATGTTTTTATTATTGTATTATAAGTAACAAAAGGGTTGATATAGCAAATTGAGACAATAAATAGTTTCAATAAATGCTAGTCTGATATCATTGTATTGTTAGGTATTGGACAAGAAAAATATTATATAAATAATTATTAATACTGCTATTTATTGTAATTGTAATAATTATTATGGATTACTTTAATAATTATATAAGTGGAAAATTATTAGTTTTTATATTTTAAATTATAATAAAAAAAAGTTTAACTTCAATTTGTACATTAAATTACAGGTATTATTATTTTATTTTATTGTATTTAGTATTGACTATAAATTATTAATGGAGAAACCACTAAATATAAACAAATATAGCTATTATTAAATTACAATATAATAAACTGTATATTTATATAATTTAGTTACTGTACTCTATTTTAAATAGTAATGTAAACTTTTAGTTGTCTACTTATATTTGTAGAAATTTTTAAATTTCAAAATTAAATATAATTAATAATTAATAAATTCTTGTAATTATTAAAAAATAATAAATTATATTAATAGTTATTTTATTTTTTTAATAGTTAATTTTAATTTATAATATATGAAACTACAAAATAAATTTCAAAATTTATAAACATAATTATCAAATTATGTGAAGTACTGTAATTTAAATAGTAATAAAACTTTAATAAAACTTAAAACTATAAATTATATAAACATATTCAAAGCTTATATTATACTTTGAATATAATGAATATTTAATGATTACAGTATAATATCTAATTTGTAAATTTAATAATAACTATAATAAGTAACTAAATAAAAAATATATTTTGTTCAATTTTTATATTATAACTTTTCAAATACTACAATATACTTTTATACAATATAATAGTATTATAGGTTTAATATCTAACATAAAAAACAATTTATGCGCAATTTTAAAAATTAAAAAAAAATAACATACAAATTAAATGCATTATTTTTTATTAACAGTTTGTTTTTATAAATTTATGTGTTGTGAATGTTCAACGCAATTAAGTTATTAATTTAAAATACTTGAACAATAACTTGAATTTATGCTAATATATTAACTTAATGTTTAGATACAAAAGTTTAGATAATTTAAAAGTATTATATTAAACTTTTATTATTATAAAAATAAATAATATTATTGATAATACAGTGGTATTGAATTAAATTAATGAATATAATTAATAGAGAAAAACACACAATTTTTTATAACTAGTATTATAAATAATTTATTTGTCATCTATTTTATTTTATATATATATTGTATAATTAGTTGTATATAAACACATATATAATATTTTTAATTAATTATACAAAAATTGATAGAAATTTATATCTAAATATAATAATATAATTCTATAATAAAGTATATAATATAATTTTAATATAACGATTAATTTAAATATAGTAAACTATAAATATATAGTAAAGTCAATAAACAAAACATGAAATTTGAAAATGAAATTTTAGAAATTTATAATAGAAATAATAAATTAATAAAATTAAAGTTTTGAAATATTCATTCAATATAATAACAAAAAATTTAATACAAAAAAAGTTTACAATTGTGTAAATCCATTATTTTTATATTAGTATTCATTCCTCGATATCTTCCGATTGACCACCAATTCTTGTCTGAGAACCAGATACTCGATGAGCAGTACATTACGTTTGTCCACCCAATCTTGCGGTCCACTACAATCGATAAACGGAAAAAACGACTTAACTATTGCCGATTTGGTCACCGATGTAGGTCCGGCCAACATTGGCGGTGCGTCGTACAGTCGGTAACCTCTGCGTTGGAGATCAAGTTTTAGTTGAGTCAATTTTCTGACCATTCGTTCAATGCGATCGTGAAGTGTCGCCAATTGGAGCTCATAGTTACGTCGGGCAGTATCGGCATCGATGTTCATACCGATTCTCGAGGTCAATGGCAACTGTATGATAACGTCAAACGTAAATCCACTGTTAGTTTTGACATAAGATTTCATAATTGGTTTCATTATGTCTATCAAAGATGGACACTCGATCACCCGTGACTTGGTTTCGGCAGCCGCCGCTTCGTAACAGCCTTCGGTAGACGACATTGAAGACGACGAAGACTTTGTATCGCTGAAGTTGTCAATGTCTTCGTCGATATCAGAATCATCTGTCGTGATGTCCACTAATTTGTCGGACATAATGGTAGGCAATGGAGTCGATGATAAGTCAATCATAAGTTAATCCAATGTTATAATTGTATAAATCTCTACTTAATTGAGTCAATATTGGAGTAAATTTTAGTAAATTTTAGTAAATTTTAGTAAATTTTAGTAAATTTTAGTAAATAGTCAAATATTTCAAACTACTGTATTAGATATTCATATTTTTCACTATTAATTAGGTGTGTAATAGTAATACTATTAATCAAGTTTTATTTTTTTTGTGTTTTGAATTATGTTATATTGAACTATGTTTATTGTATGATAAAATAATTTTATAAATCTAATTTATTTTAAAATTTCAACTTATTAAAGTAATTACTATTTGTATATACATTACTATATTATTATATATATATATATAAAAAAAATTTTGTCATTTGAAATATAAAATTTGTTTATTATTTAATTTCACAAATGAGAAAATTTTGAAATTTATGAAACAAAATTATTATGATATATACAATAGATAAACATTAAATAAAAGTTTACAAATCAACACATTTTACTATTATAATAGTTTGTTATTTAATACAATTGATTTGAGATACTTGGGAATCATAAATGTAATATAATCTGCTATTAATACTGTATAAAAAATATGCATTTATTTTCATCTATTGTTGAAATTAATACTCATTGTAAAATTTTACAAAAAAATATATAGTAATATAAATAATATTTATATTAAGCATTTTTACAAAAAATATTAAACAATTATTTTGTATAATTTATATGTTATTATAAAAATTCTATGTCTATAACTAAATTGATAATATGAATTTATTATTTATAATAATAGGTATTTAAATAATAAATATATATACCTATAATATACCTGATACCTGATAATATTTTTTTGATACATAAAAAATTTAATTAATTATAAAATTTATTTTGAATTATTTAGTGGCTGATCTTATATATATTGTAAACACAGTATTTACAATTGAAAATACATTAATTGAAAAATTTTGTCAAACATTTGCTAAAAACAAATTTGATATCGATTTTACATTAAATTTGCCAAAACTTTATTATGCAAACAACAATCAAAATATTTTGGTAATTGGAAGACATGGATGGACATTGAAATCGGGACACGGATTGACATACTGGACCAATCAATCAATGGCCAAACAATATAGGACTGCTTTTATTTATTATAATTATTTACTACAAGTATTTATTGGTTTTCTACGGGTATTTAACTAAAAAAAATACATTAATTTGTTTTAATAAATTTAAACAATTTTTATTTAATGTTTAGACGAATCGACCCGTTATTGATATCTATCGGTTGAATGTGTTTACCGATTACGAGATACCCAAAGAAGTTATTGGTTTAGAGAAATCAATAGATCTGTCAAAACTCGGTATTAGCTATGGATTAGACTTTGATCCGACCGTTAGTTTTACATTATTCAACTTCGGGTGCGTTTGCTTTTACACACAACACCGACTATATGTGACCAATGAATACGTCGGTAAATTGAAATGTTTTGATATCAGAAATCACTCAAAACCTCGTGAAGTGACCCATGAATTGCAAAATAAATATCCGAACCGGCCGTTTATGCCTGTGTTTACAGTTAACGGCACCCATACTAGTCATAAAATTATACTAATAAGTGATAATGATTTTATGTATAAATTTCAATTGTATTTCATTGATGGTCACACCATTAGCTCGTGTTGGACACCGGAATATCCTTTTATATCATTCAATGTAAATATAAATAATTATAGTTTAATAATTTAAATTGGGAATATATTTCCAATTTATTATTTTTTTAAAATAACTATAAATACAAACTTATTTTAATTATTTTTAGTGTAAATCGAAAAAAGAAATTATTTTTGATTGCAATCTATTGTTGAATAATACATATGAAACTAAAGGATCGGCAAATGTTTTAACTAATCTATGGATTATAGTAATTGTTATTATTATTATTGTTATTATTACGATTATATTAGTGATCACAATATATTTTAATTTATACAAATTGTGTTCAACTAATAATATTTTTAAAACAAAAATTATAAAATTACGGCCACAAATACCGATAACTACAGACCCTTTAATAGGCGATATATGTATGACAAAAATTGATACCCGTGGCTATATTTATCATAATGGAGGGGTCACTAACACCAAGCAAAGTTTTAATCTTGGTTAAGTTTATAATTTAACAATAAATATATTACTAATTTTATACTAACATTACTGTACTCTAGTAAATTGTATTAACAAATGTTTATTAACCACTATTAATATAATATATCACACAAATAATACTGTAATAACATTGATAAAAAAAAGATTATAAAACATAATAAATTAATTTACAAATAATAAGTATAAGATTCAATGTATAATATATAGCAATTTTTTAAATTGTATTATAATAATTTAAAAAGTTTTATTGTTGTTTATAAGTTACTATTTTATTTTGTCAATCTAACAGTTATTAAATTTAATTTAACTAATTACAGTATTTATTTTAATTTCTTTAAATTATGTATTTTTATTAGCTAAACAAACAATTGTTTATTTTTATTAATTATACAAAAACATATTGTATTAAATTAGATTAAATATGAAAATTGAATCTAAAAATAGTTTTAAATAAATTATTATAATTTTTTCAATGACAATAAACTATAATATTTAGTTAATTACAACAAAATAAAAAAATTAAATATTCGCGTAATTTAAAATTTTTTTAAAACTGAAATTTCAGTTTGTTTCGGACGAAACAATTCTAATTGTAATGATAATTAATTTTTAAATATTTTATTAATTTATAATAACAATAATAATAATAAGCAGTTTATTTATCCATTAAATATGTTATTTCGATTTTCATCGATTATTATCAATAAACGGTAAAAAAAACATTAACAAAAAAAATAAATTACAAATTTTACAGATTTTTATATTATATTTTATTATCAAATTTTTATAAAGCACTTCATTGTTGATATCAATGATTGCTACCAATCAGTGGTATCATCAACAGTGGATCGCTAACAATAACAGTCAATCACCACTTAAACAGTTTAGACCGTACTGTATATGGAAACCATATCCAAGACTTATGAGAAGCGCACTGTTGGCTAAAGAAAACAAACTCTGGATGAAAGACGTGTACAACAAATGCATGGAATCTGTGATTGAAGTGTCATTAGACAGTCGGGATGAGGTCAAGATAGGCGGTTACGGGTCGGGTTGGTTGTTGGACGGCGATGACGGTCTGATCCTAACCAACTATCATTGTGTTTTCGATGCACATTATATTAAGATCCGTCTCCAGCATTCATATCGGGTGAGCGATCTACGAGATGTCGGTGAAGATGTCGATTACATCAACTTTGATTACAGTCGTAGCTCTTACTGGTGGGCTGAGGTCATCTATGTTGAGGCGCACCTGGATCTGGCCTTATTGAGACTGCCATCAATTATTCCTGGATTGCTAACAGGTCTTGAAATTGCCAACAATGATGTCGTTCGGGGCGCCGAAGTCATGGTAATGGGACATCCCTTTCTGGACGATACACTCAATGTTGGTTATGTGATACACCAGAGTCGACACAATTATTTTTCCAATTGTTTTATGTACGGCGATCTTATGTGGCCGACAAACCAATTGTTTACAACTATCAACATTACATCCATACAGGGCTTCTCGGGCGGACCGGTTGTCAACACCAGTGGCCAAGTGATTGGCGTACTTTTTTGCGGACTTTTCAAAGAGAGTTCAATTACCAGACGACAGGATCTGTTAGGTTGTTTGATAAACAAATTCATTAATTTTTTTATATAAATTAATTGTTTGGATGGTTTACTAACAAATTATTATTTTTTTTTGTTGATTAGATTTTATCAACAGATCTAAAACCATTGGACATCAACTCAACAACAAATTAGTTAACCAAAGAAAAGTTTTTTATTCAGGAAAACCATTAATCGGTGTTTTTCTTGGATACGATAAAACACATAAATTATATAATGTTATCGATTATATGCCGTACGCCCACTCTATCAGGTATGGGATGTCAGATAAGACAGTTTAATAATACTAATAATACTAAATCAATCAATTAATTAATTCATAATTATAAATACTAAATAATTGTTGACTATTTAATAAAAAAAAAATATAATAGAAATGTCTTATCAATCGGTGATAAGATTACGGCAATTGATGGCAAACCAGTAGAAAATCTCGAAGACATAATGAAATTCATTGATAATGTATCGATTGAACAGTTGATTGTAATGGATATATTGAGAAACAAACAAAAATTTTCAGTTAATTTCAATATACAAACCATTGAAAACAAATGCTTTTTCTAAAGTTATTATTTTTCTAATATTTAAAATAATAATAATAATTGTTATACATTTTGTGTACATATAATTCAATTAGTTGATAAATTTCCTGATATAACTGTAAACTAAATTTCATATAAAATGGCACTTGATTTTATTCAATTAAAATTAATTAAAATTAAATAATTTATCGGCGGTAATTGTCCCTTTGGCCAGACAAATAGGGGTTGTGCCGCGCAATGAAATTCCTCCCCAAACCATAATTGCCGTGCCATGTTTTGGGACTTGTTTTTCTGGCCTTTTCCTACCCCAACACTTGACTTTATGACGATAGAGCTGAAAATAGCTCTCGTCAGTGAGTAGCACATTGTCCCAGTCCCGATACAAATTGGCCAGACACCAATTGACCCGCTTTTCCTTATGGAGAGGTGTCAATCTGGTGACCAGTTTCGCAGCCATTTGAGGAGCCCAGACCGCCTCAATGACCGCCATACTGTCACTCCAGAGACCGACGGACTACCTCTTTTGGCCATCTCAGCCGCCAGCGCAGTTGAACTGTGCATCGGGTGATTGTTGGCCAATTGGGTAAGTCGGCGTCGGTCATTGGGTTTCAAAATTTGAGGTCTGCCGGTTCCGGGCTTCCGTTGGACACCTTCTCCCGAACGTAACTTATTAAGGACCCGAAATACTGTCCGCCGTGATGCTCCAGTTGCTATCATTAAGAATTTCGGGTCATCGTGTCCTTGATTCCATAGCAACTGGAGTGCTTTTCGGCGGTCGAGATTCTTCTTAATTGGTGTTTCCTTTATCGTGCTTGCCATCACTTTTAAAAAAATAAACAATAACATGTGGCATACCATTGGAAAGGTATTTAAACAACCTTTCCAATGGTATGCCACAAATTATGTTGTGATGACAAACACAAAAACTATGCCTTAAAATTTATTTATGATTTTAGTGCCGTTTTATATGAAATTTAGTTTAAATTTATAACTTATAAATTAATAATTGTAAATAAAAATATTTGTACAACTTTTAAAAATATTACTATTAAATTCACTAATGAATGATACATATATTAACACAATTTTATATGATCTAATATAAATTTTTATAAAAATAACATTATATTTGTTTTTATTTGTAATATTTTTAAAAACATTATGAAGAAAATAAATTTTTAAATTTATTCAAACATTAATTTATTTTTATTTAGTTAAAAAAAAGTTTTAAAGAAAGTATTGAATACAAGTTATTATTAAAATTAAAGGTCTCATCAATAATAAGTTAATAATAATAACCAAATTGATAACAAATGATGAAATTTATGCTTTTTAAAAAAGGCTTAACAGTAGACTAACCACCCAATTAATTTGTAAACCTGTATAATAGTATAAAATATATGATTTTCACCTGTATTTTCCTGTATATTCAATAATATATTCCTGTATGTTAACATGCACTTAAATAACTATATATTTATAATATTAATTAAGAAAAATTTAATTTAGATACTATAATTATATAAAAAGTTGAAATTTATTTTTTTATTTTGAACATGAACAATTTTATAAATATTTATAAATTTTTTATAAAAATTACTTAGTTTATATATTTAAACTGCATATTAAAAATATAAGCAATTTTTACTAACAAAATGAATTAAATTTTTCATTTTTCATAATTAAATTTTTAAAATTTTTTAAAATTTTTTATAAAATAGTCATTTTATACTTTTATTAATCAATTAGTTTCACATATTTTAAAACTGTATATATTTATTATACAGGTTAGCCCCTTACCTGTCACCTGTATCAAACTAGATTCCTGGAGGTATAATACAGGCGGCACCTGTATGGGTGGTCAGTCTACTTAACAGTATTACTTGTTTGACTATTGAGTTGATTGCCAATTATTAGTTGTTGTTTTTTTGTTTGTTAATTAAATTGATTTGGCATCGGATGGCATACTCTATACGGATATATGCGGATATACAGGACTGGTAATAATCAAATACTAACTGAACCCGATTAGTTAAGTTAGTTACCGTAATTCATTAATATACTGTATTTTTTTAATAGTATAGTTACTATACTACATTTAGGGTTAGATCAGATTCCCTTCCTCGTCTTATTTTCCATAAGTTCCTTATATTCCCTGTTCCCTGGGAATTCCCTGGGAAGACATTTCCTTGTGGTACCACCTATCGTACCCTAACTCACATTACATAATGTTTAATTAAAAACACGTTTGTATAGTAAATGTCTACAAAATGTATTAAATATTTTTACTAAATGTTTAATAATATTTGAATCATATTTTGATTGAGTTATTACTAACATAATGGTCCCAATTGAAACACATAGCCATTGAGATTATGTACTTTTTAATGTATGACAAATTATATTTACCCTTTCTAACGATCAAGGGAAGGAATATAATATATTTTCCATATTTTCCGGGAAAATTGGAGGGATTTTATTTGGGAACTTCCCTCCCTGGGAATCTCAATCTAACCCTAACTACATTATAGTATTTCTAAATATAGTATAGAAAGTACTAAACATGTAAATATAAATATTTTTTTTGAAAGCATGAAAATTTATAATCTAAAAATATTAATAATAAATATATTATAATTAATTTAATTATAATTATTAACCTGTAATTTTGTTATTGATTTTTTTTGAAAAAAATATAGTTTACAATAGAAATTATTGTAAAATTTTTTGATTATTTTTGGATATCATTATTAATTCATTAGATACTGTTAATAATATTTAGTTTAATTATTAATTAATTAATGTTAATTTATATACTCTATTTGTGTAATTTAGTTTTAAATTATTTTATTTTGTCATTTTATTATAAATATCATATTTTACTTAATTTGACATTTATTTTAACTTTTAAAATTTCAAAACATAATTCGCGTAAATATAAATTTTAAATAAATTACAAAATGTTTGCTGAAATAATAATAAATTGTATTTATGAAAAATAAATCATTAATTTTTGTTTGTCGTATAAGTATTGCTGTATTTATAAACATTTACAATATTTAGTTTTTATGAAATTTTATTTATTTTTTTCACATGTTTTTATTTATTAATTTTTTTTATATTAATTAATTTTATTTTTAATAAAACTTATCGATATCTATATAAACAATTTTATTTTTTGTAATAATATAATTATGATTTAACGGGTCGAGCGGGTCCTCTATTATTGAGTGACTGTGGCTCAACAATAGGGTTCCTTTTTATGGCTACTCTACCAGTCGGTGCCGACGCCGAGCTTTCAAGTATGGCCTCTTGTAAAGCGGGTGCCTCAAGGACACGAGCACCACCAATAAGGCCAGCTCTGACAATAGTACCGGTGATCGGACCGGTCAGAGCAGCATCTAGTGGTTCGGCGGCAATTGCCACGGGTTTGGCAATTGCTACCCGTTGTGCAACAGCTATTGGTTGTGCGAGTGCAACAGTAGGTGCGGCAGCGGCTATGGCAATGGGTTGCGGTGCTGGAATGGCTACCTCTTTGATGACTTTCTGATTCTCACCCCTGGCTACCACACTGTGCACCTCTTCCTGTACGGGCAATATCTCTTGTATGATCTTACGGAACGGTTGGATAATTTCGCGGACTTCCTGGATGACCGGTTTGACCACTTCGTGCAGCACCCGATCCGGTTCCTCCTCTGATCGGGTCTCCTTGAATTCGCCGGGCGGTCCAGGAATGTGTACCTGATTGATGTTGACGGGACTGGACTGCGATCGGAACTCGATAGTCACCGGCAACAGATTGGGCTCAACGATCAGCACTTGTGGTTGGATGACATCGGGTGGTACGGGAACGTCGACCACTTCGTGAGTTCGGTGTGTGATTATGGCTACCGAAGCGTTTTAAAAATAAAGTTTATTAGGTTAAAGATTTTTTTTGTATTTCAGATAACTTACCGGCGATTACTGGTCCCAAATGTTGTGCTTTAGCTCCCAGAGCTATACCACCGGTCACACCAGTAGTCAATCCTATATAATCAAACAGTTTTGAAAGTAAAAATTGGACGATAAAAAAAGATATGACAATTTATTTGGACAGTTACCTAAAGTGGCCACTTTGTTAAGCTGTTCATAAGCTGGAACCACTACCGGTGCTCCAACGGCTACTGTGTGGTGTGATAAACCGTGGGCCACTGCGTTGTGTGATAAACCATTGGCCACTGCGTGGTGTGATAAGCCGTGGGCCACTTTTGGATACGTCAGAAAATGTCTGACATTACCCGACGGCAGTACTTGTGGCGCAGACACGCGATTGTGTCTACTAATTACTGGTATTCGGATCTGACCATTGCTACCGATGACCACCAGTGCCGATACCAATAATAACTATAGTTTATAATAATTATACAAAAAATTTAAATAAATTTATTTGTTTTCATTATTAATGTATTAACAAATATAGTACTAAAAATTATTATATGATTATATTATGATTTTTTTATATTTATGTTTTTATATCAAATAATTATAAGATAAACTAATCCTATAAAATATTTATGAATTATTAATAATAATTATCAAATTTTCAGTTTATATTTAAATTTAATTTTGCTCATCAATCAACGATAACAATCACAATATATAGGAAATAATAAAATAAAATAAAATCTTCATTTATAACTATTATATAAAAATGAATCTCTTTAAAACTTTTTTTATGTCTAAATATATGGACATAAAGTATTAAAAGATTAAATTATAATTCATTTCATGTTTTTCTAAAGTCATTATTTTTTTTAAAAAAAATATTAATCTTATAAGTTTAAATTACTTTTACTTTTAAAAAAAAACATTTAATAAATTTTTCAATTTATATTAACTGTTATCGTAATTATTAGCAGTTACTGTATTGTGATTATTATCGCATACTTTTAAAGTTTAATGTAATATTTTTTATATTGAAAAACATCTTTAATGGATTTATTAAGCAATCAGATACCACATATTGGTAGTTAAATTAATCAC